TGCCTGCGTCGCCCTGGTCTCACCACCTCGCCCCGCCTGCCTGCGCCACGTGCCTGCCATGTGCCCGCAGCCCCCATGCGCAAGCAGGCGGGCGACGCCGTCATCGGCGGCACCGTCAACATGAGCGGCCCGCTGCGCATCAGCGCCTCCAGGTGAGACGCGCTGGGTGGCCTGGCGGCACATGATGGGCAGGGCTGTGAGGTGGCAAACCCGGGAACCGGTGGCTTTTCCATTGGGGCAGGCTTGTGCTGGGCGAGTAGGTAGCCCTGCCATGTGTCTTCACCCACGCACCGGCCACCTGCCCACCCCTGGCTGGGCTGCAGGGTGGGCTCCGACACCGCTCTGTCCCAGATTGTGCGGCTGGTGGAAAGCGCGCAGCTCAGGCAGGCCCGGGGCGTGGAGCGTGTGTCCTTGCTCTCCTGCCCCGCTGCTGCCAGCCAGCTTGCTGCTGCCGGCTAGCTTGCTGCTGCCCTGCTCCCCTCTCTCCTCACACCGTCTCCACCGCTCCCCGCTGCTGCAGCAAGGCACCCATCCAAGCCTTTGCCGACCGCGTGTCCGCGGTGTTTGTGCCGGTGGTGGCGGCTCTGGCGCTGCTCACCTGGCTGGCCTGGTATCTGGCTGGCAGGCTGGGCTGGTACCCAGACACCTGGCTGCCAAAGGCAAGCAGGGCGGTGGTCGGCGCTGCCACGACGCAGAAGGCCCTTCCGCAGCCACCGGATGGTGCAGGGGCAGGTTGTGCATGCTTGTGGAGGCCTGCCGTCTGTTGTTTGCGCTCAGGGCCTGGCCTGTTGTCACCACCGGGCATGCCGCCGCTGCCCTGTGTTGTGCCCCGCAGGGCCACAACCATTTCCTCTTTGCCCTTCTCTTTGGCATCGCGGTGCTTGTCATCGCCTGCCCCTGTGCCCTGGGCCTGGCCACACCCACCGCCGTGATGGTGGGCACAGGGGTGGCCGCCTCCCAGGCCTGCCTCATCAAGGGCGGAGAGGCACTGGAGCGAGCCAGCAGGTAGCGACGCGCATACTCCCGTGTGTGGCATTGTTTTGCGGGAGTGGTCTGCTGGCCCGCCAGCTCTGGCAATTCCCCACCAATTACCGCTCCCTGGCATTGGCCGTACCTGCCCTCTGCGCAGGGTGCGCACGGTTGTGTTTGACAAGACGGGCACGCTGACGGCTGGCAAGCCGCACGTCGTGGATGTGCGGGCGCTGCACCCGCACCTGGGTGTGGCAGACGTGATTGAGCTGGCGGCGGCGGTGGAGCAGCACAGCGAGCACCCGCTGGCCTCCGCCATTCTCAAGCTGGAGCGGCAGCAGCAGCAGCAGCAGCTCAAGCAGGACGAGGCGGCGAGCGGCGGCGGCGGCAGCGCCAGCGTGGCGCCGCCGCTGCTGCAGGCGCGGGATGTGGAGGTGGCCATGGGGCAGGGCATTTCCGGCTGGGTGCAGCTGTCGCCGGCGGCAGGCGCCGGCAGCATGAGCCGCCCCCACAGCAGCTCGCAGCTGGCAGCCATGCAGGCGGCGGCGGCGGCGGCGGCGGCGCCAGAGGCGGAGCTGTCGCCACCCGCGGCATCGGTGCGCGGCGGCGGGGCAGCCTCGCTGGCCAGCCTGGTCTCCTCGGCAGCCAGCAGCCTGCCTCGGCAGGCAGCGGGCGGGGCCTTAGAGAAGAAGGCGGCAGCCAGCGGGGTGCTGGTCACGGTGGGCAACGTGCGGCAGCTTGCGACGGCAGGCGTGGCCATTCCGCCGGCGGCCGAGGCGTACATGCGAGATCAGGAGGTGACCGAGGCCTGGGAAGCCACAGCGTGGGGCTGGCAGCACCTCCCGCTGTTTCACCTCTGCTCGCTTGCCTCTGCCCCTGGGCATGTGCTCTCACCACCTGGCTGCACCCGTGCTGTGGCGCAGGGCCGGGGCAGCACGTGCGTGCTGGTGGCGGTGCAGCAGGCGCTGGTGGGCGTGGTGGCGGTGATGGACCCAATCAAGCCTGAGGCCAGGTGGGTGGGTGACGGCGGGATCCCAATTGGTGCTGGGTTGCTGCTGGTGTGCCGCCGCCTTGTAGGAAGAAGCTGGCCAAGCACGTCGGACTGGGGTGTGTGTGAGATTTCTGCCCTGCCCTGCCTTCCCCGCCCTGGCCTGCAGGGGCGTGGTGGCAGCGCTACACCAGATGGGCATGCACTGCGTGCTGCTGACGGGAGACAACTGGCGCACGGCACGGTCCATCGGCGACCAGGTGGGGCCGGTGCAGCTAGCGCGTGGGGTGGCGCCTGATTGCAACATGCTGCTGGGCTGGCTGTAGGCCAGCTTGGTCCGCTGACGGATGCCTGTGTCACCGGCCTTCTGCGCTCCTGCTGCAGCTGGGCATTACCACAGTGTTTGCAGAGGTGCTGCCGGCCGGCAAGGTGGAGAAAGTGCAGGTGGGTGGGCGGCTGTGCCAGGCGGTGGGGGTGGTGGCGGAGGAGGTGTTGCCGACCCTCTGAAACCCCCGTCTGATTGATTTTGCCTTTTCCAGCAAGTGTACGCATGCTTACCAAAGTTGTTGCCTTCGCACCACCCTGCTTGCAGGAGCTGCAAGCCCAGGCACCCACCGCAATGGTGCGCAGCCCAGGGGGGCGCAGTGCCTCCACTCCGCTGTCACGGGCAGGCCTGCCCTCTGGTTGGCCTGGCTTGCGCTTGAGCCCCCATGTTGTTGCTTTCCCCTCAGGTGGGCGACGGCGTCAATGACTCACCCGCTCTGGCCCAGGCCGACGTCGGCATCGCGGTCGGCAGCGGCACTGGTGAGCCGGTCTGGCAGGGCCCTGTCAGCCCCCCAGGGTCGCCAGCCCGCCATTGCTGCCCACGTGCCTCTCCCATCACCCTCCCATCACCCCCCCATCGCCCTCCCATCACCCTCCCATCACCCTGCCACCCCTCCACCCTGCTGCAGACGTGGCCATCGAGGCGGCCGACTATGTGCTGATGCGCAGCGACCTGGAGGACCTGCTGATGGCGCTGGACCTGTCGCGCACCACCGTCAACAGGATCAGGTGGCGCCCGCCCCCGCCTGCTGCGTGTTTGTGTTTGTTCTTGCGACTGCCTGCCGGCACAAGCGTGGTGCTGGCCTGGGTGTCCAGCCTTGCACTCACCGCCTGCCCTTTCCGCCCGTGGCCTGGCCTGCAGGTGGAACTACTTTTGGGCACTGGCGTACAACATGCTGATGATCCCCATCGCGGCAGGCGTGCTGTACCCCGCCACCCACATGCAGCTGCCGCCCTGGGTGGCGGGCGGCTGCATGGCGCTCAGCAGCGTCAGCGTCGTCTGCTCCAGCCTGCTGCTGCGGCGGTACCGCCGGCCCCGGCCTGTGCTGCGGGACATGATCATCATCAAGCATTGAACCAGCTGTCGGTTTCGACACGCGCACTCGCCGCTGAGTAGTGCATCCGTTTTTTGCCCCCACACGCATCCGTTTTTTGCCCCACATCACTCGGTAATCACCTCGGTTGTACCCCTCTGCTACACGTCTGACCCAGCTTCCTTCCGTCTTCCGTGGCTCGCATGAATTGCAACAGATCAGGCTTCACACCGTGTAAGGTGATGATTGCAACGCAAGGGCAACAGGCCATGGCCGTTTGGGTTGGTTGAGGTGCTCTTCGATGTGTGGTTGTGTGTAAAGCAGTGTATGCCGCCTTGTTCAGTGGCTGGCGCAAGCGCAGATGTGGTTTCATGTTTGTGCTTATCTAAGAATGCAGAGAGGGGGGGCTGGGGCAAAACATGTACCGCGGCCCACCAAGCAGTACCTGGCATTGAGTGGGCCAACAATAATTTCCGGCTGCCTTTCCAGTGCCAACAAACCCGATCACCAGAAGTGCATTGAGAACGCCGCTGAGGCAGCTGCCAGCAGCAGCGTTTTAGCTGTAGCCTCCCGCCACCATGTCCAGCGGCCCTCAGAGTGTGCGTGTCGTTGTGCGCTGCAGGTGTGCAAGGGCAGAACGTCTGCTGGGCGTCGTGGCTTTGGCTGCCGGCAGCTGTTTTGGGCCGCCCCGTCAAACCTTCCTTCCGCCGTCGTCGCTGCTGGCAACAGCTGCTCCTGTGTATCTGACTGCGCAGCCAGAACCTGCCCGCCCCCGCTGCAGGCCGCCCAGCAAGGAGGAGCTGACCAAAGCCACGCCACAGGTGGTGCGGTGCGACGAGGCGGGGCAGGTGGTGGCGCTGATTCGAGGCACGTCGAGCGCCAGCACCCAGCAGAAGGCACAGACATATGAGTTTGACCAGGTGCTCCTGCGCATTGATTTGTGCTTCTGAGTTTACATTGTGGCCGCTCGCCTGCAGACTGGCTGACCTGCCAGCCTCTGCGCTGCACGCTCCCCTCTGGTGCAGGTCTTTGGCCCAGATGCCACCCAGGATGCCGTCTACTCAGCTGCAGCAGCGGACATTGTGGGCCGTGTGTTGCAGGGATGCAATGGCACCGTCATTGCATACGGCCAGACCGGCTCCGGCAAGACGCATACCATGTGCGGGGCGCTGGGCGGGGGCGAGGCATGGCCATGTGCCGGCATCATCCCGCGAGCCTTGCATCACATCTTTGCCTACACGGAGGAGAGCCAGGCGGGCGCGTGCATCAGCCTGAGCTGCAGCTATCTGGAGCTCTACAATGAAGTCCTGACAGACTTGCTGTCCGATGGCGCGTCCAAGGTGCGTGTTGGATCATGGCAGACCCCCTGCCGCTGCCCATGCCTGCTGGCACATGCGCTCATCTGCTGCCCTGCCCACCCAGCAGGTTGACATTTTAGAGGACGGCAAAGCGATGGTGCTCAAGGGCCTCACCAAGTGCACAGTGAGCAGCTGCGGCGAGGCGCTGGCGCTGCTGGAGCGCGGCACCGTCAAGCGCCGCACAGCGGAGACGCTGCTCAACAGCCAATCCTCTCGCTCCCATGCTGGTGAGGGAGTGCTCAGGGGGCAGGGTCGAGGAAGAGCGCACCCGACATGCACCTGTTGACACCTGTCGCCCTTGATTGGGGGCATCTGTTGTGCAGTGTTCATCGTGGATGTGTGTGTGCGGGAGGTTACCAGCAACAGCGAGCTGGTGGAGCGGCGGGGCAGGCTTCACCTGGTGGATTTGGCTGGCTCGGAGAGTGCCAGCAGGTGATCTGCCCTGGTGCATGTTTGCAAGCCGAGTAGCTGCGGGCAGCTGGGCACCAGTCAGCGCACACTCGGAACCTGCCTGCCATCCCTCCTGCCTGCCATCATGCCTGCCCTGCGCAGGTCTGGCGCGGTGGACCAGCGGGCCAAGGAGGCGGGCAGCATCAACAGGTCGCTGCTGACGCTGGGGCGCGTGATCACGGCGCTGGTGGAGGGGCAGGGCCACGTGCCCTACCGTGGGTCCAAGCTCACACGGCTGCTGCAGGACTCGCTGGGCGGCAACGCCAGCACCTGCATCATTGCCGCGGTGGCGCCCACAGCGCAGTGCCGGGAGGAGACGGCCTCCACCCTGGACTATGCGCACCGGGCCCGCAGCATCAAGAACAAGCCGCAGGTGGGCAGGGGCGGCAGGCGTGGATGCGTGAGGCAGGACAGGTTGTTGGCCAGCGAGGCTATAGGGGCTCGGATACTTTGCCCCTGCGTCTGCCCCTTTTTTCTCGATGTGCATGCCCATGCGTTTTCGTGCCTGATTGGCATGCAGGTCACCTCCACAAGCATCAAGGCGCCGAACAGGGAGGAGTTTGAGCAGTTCAAGCAGCAGGTGGCGGAGCGGCAGAAGAATGGTGAGGAGGGCAGCGGGGCGGCTGTGGCTGGCGTGTCTTGCCCCTGCTTGCCCTGGTGGGCAGCAGGTGTGCCCTGGGCCAGCCGTCTGCCTATGGCAAGGTAGCTGCAGCTAAGGAAACAGCAAAGACAGAGGCCAGCAAAGGCGCTCATTGGGGTTGACCCCGGGCCTCATGCAGGCGTGTATGTGCCCACCGAGCAGTACGAGGAGCAGCTACAGAAGCTGCAGCAGCTCGAGGCGCTGAGTGGGCGAGTTTGGGCGCTCAAGGCGGAGGCGGAGGAGGCGCAGCGTGTGGCGCAGAGGTCGGCGGCGGACCTGCAGCTGGCCGAGCAGCAGCTGCAGCAGCAGCGGGCGGAGCTGGGCCAGGTAGGGACAGTGCTGCTGTGACTGTGTTCTGAGGTTGCCGCCCCACAGGCAGTGCTGTGCTGATTGCTTGCTATGCTGACATGCAGGAGCTGCAGAAGGCTGGGCAGCTGCGGCAGGAGCAGGAGCAGTCTCGGCAAGAGAGGGAAGAGGTGTGCCCTGGGCAGCAACTTGTAACCATTGTGGGTAGCTCGTGTCTGGATTGCAGCCAATTTACTGCCCAGCACCTTCAAGTTCTGCCTCCTGCCTGCTGTGCAGCTGCACAAGCTTGCGGCAGAGCAGCGAGTGGCAGCAAAGGAGACTTCCTTGCTGAGGCAGCAGGTGGAGGCGTTGCAGGCCAGGCTGTTGGAGCAGGAGCGGCATGCTGCAGTCGAGAGAGCTACGGCTGTTGCTGCCAAGGCTACGGCTGAGGACTTGCGCGCACAGCTGGCAGAGACGCAGCAGCTGGCAGAGTCGCACGCGGCAGCAGCAGCACAGCATGAGGCAGCAGCAGGGGTTGCAGGCGCCCATGAGGAGGCGGCGGAGCAGGGCGCAGCCCCTGCTGCGATTGAGCAGCTGCACCAGGAGGTGGCCTGCAAGAGCGCCGAGATTGAGGCGCTGCAGGGGCAGATTCAGCGGAAGGACCTGAAGCTCAAGCAACTCAAGGTGAGGAGAGCCAGGATGCGGATGCATCCCTGCGGTAATCCCAACAGCTGTGCTTGGCACGCCCCCTGCCCTGGTCCATCTGCAGCGTGAAAGGAAAGCTTGGGAGGAGCAGCAAAGGGAGCTGGAAGGGAGGGCGGAGCACCTGCAGGGCGAAGTGCAGCAGCTGCAGAGCAAGGTGCAGCAGCTGGAGGAGAACAACAACCCCAACCCCGCCAAGCGGCGCAAGGCGGCCGTGAGCCAGATGCGCAGGGGGTAGCGCTTGTAATTGTGCTGTGAACTAGATATTTCCATTTCTCCAGTTCAGACATGCAAAGGGTCACCTCAAAAAAAGTCAGCAATGCGGAGCGGGTGTCAATACAATACAGTGGGTGGTCCATTGCAAAAACGTGGAGGGATGGTGCCTGTCTGCCTGCCTTCGTCCATCCCAGGGCGGCCAGCCGCCCGCACAGGCCCTCAGCTGATGCGGTTCTCCTGCAGCGCCTGGCGCAGCGCCGACACGCTGTCGCTGGAGCAGCGGCGGGCCTTGGTGGGGCGCACCACCGCTGGGCTGTTCTCTGCCAGCGGCGACAGGTCGTCGCCCTCCTCCTCGCTCTCCTCCTCCTCGTCGTCAGAGGATGGGGTGGCCGGCTCGGCCAGCGGCTTGCGGGCGCTGCGGGCTGCACGCTCGGGCTGGCGGCGGGAGCCCGTGGGCGGCACACGCGCTGGTGTGCCCTGCACGCAGCCACCCAGGGAGGGGACAGCAGGTGAGGGACGGCAGGAATGATCGAGGCAGGGAAAGGGAAGCAACCCAGCAGCAGCTGTGCTTGCTGCACGGCTTTCCCCACCCCTACGCCTCTCACCTCCTCTGCTGCCTCATCATCCGACGACTGCGGCATCGGCAGCCCGCTGTCATCGTCGTCGCTCTCCGAGCTGTCTGCCTGCTGGCGGCGGCCGCCGCGGGCGCGGGCCGGCGTCTTGCCCCGGGCCGCCGTCTTGGCGGCCCGGCTGCCGGCTACGGGCGCCGCGCCGGCTGCCTCGCCCTCCGGCTCCGCCACCGCATCAAACGGCAGCGGGTAGTCGGCCAGCAGCCCGCTGCGGTCGTAATCCAGCAGCCTGCAGGACGAGACAGAGATGCACGCCACGGCGCAGCCCGCCTGTCACCCACCCAGGCCAGCCAGCCATGCGGCTCTCGCGGCCTCGATGCAAAGGCAGCGGGCAGCCCCAGCAGCCGCCACCCCGGGCCGCCGCCACTCACGTCTCCAGCAGTGCATCCACCTCCTCGGGGGTGAAGGGATCCACCGGCAGCGAGAACTGCGCCGCCCGTGCGCTGAGCTTCTCCAGCAGGGTGTCCAGATCCTTCCGCATCGCGCGGTCGGGCACCTGCGCCCAGGCCTGCCGCGCCAGCTGCTTCAGGGTGCGCACCGTGGCCTGCAGCAAGGGAGGCAGGCAGGCATGTGGCATGGCTTGAGTGCCATGGCATGCATCGGAACGCAGCCTGCCAGTCGACACCAGGCATCACATGCGCCAGCTGCAGGCGCATGCACCGGCCTGGTGACAATACTACGGCCCCGCCGGCGCCACTCACCCCATCCTGCACCTCTCCCACAGGGAAGACCTCCAGTGCCGCCGCCACCCGGCACAGCGCCGCCAGGTAGGGCTTGGGCACCTCGGGCAGGTAGGCGGGGCTGCTGCACACCACCGCCTCCCGCAGCACAAGGTCCACCAGCATCTCGTGGCCCACGGCCTCAAGCTGCGCAGGGCAGGGGAACGGCAAGGCAGCAGGCAGGGAGCTGGCATGAAAACAACACTGCAAGCGGTCAGTGGTGGGCCCCAAATCTACTCCTCCAGCGGAAAGCCCCTCGCTGCCCTGCCACCACCAGCACCCAGCCAGCACCACCACACCACCACCACCACCAGCGGTTCCCACCTTGTTGCTGTCCTCCCCGCGGTAGGGCGTCATGAGCAGCTGCGCCAGCACGCCCATGACCTTGGCGGAGGTGCAGTTGGCGGCGGTGACCTTCTTGCCGCTGGCCTTGTCCTGGGAGGCAGCCCTGCAGCCAGCGGGAAGGGGCAGGCAGCCAAGCCGACACCAGGTGAGCGGCCAGGCTGGGAGGCGCGCGGAGTGCATGCCAGAGATGTTGCCGCTCACGTGCGCGCCGCCGCCAGGAAGGCGGTGGCCAGGTACTGCTGGTGCTCGGGTGTCAGCTCGGCGTAGTTTTGGAAGAAGACGGGCAGCGCCTGGGACACCAGGGTGGCGGCCTCGATGGCGGGGTTGAAGTACAGCACCAGCAGGTCCACCAGCACCTGCAGGGAAAAGGGGTGGAGGAGGGCCCCCGGCGTCACAGGCATGGCCAGGCGGGCGGCGGCGGGGCGGAGACGGAGCACGAGGCAACGGAGGGCAGCAGGCGCCGCGTGGGCTGCTGCGCGCAAACGTGCGCATGTGCTGCCCCTCGCACCAAACAGGTTCCTTGGGACAGCAGGCCCTCCGGTTTCCTCCCACCCAGCCCAGGCACCGGCCCTCCCTCCCTCGCCGCCCCACCTCGATGACCTCCGCATCCTCCATGGCCAGCGGGCGCCCCTCCCGCTCCTGTCGCTCCACCCAGAACAGGTGGGAGCGGGCGAGGCGGGCCAGCGCCTCCACCAGCGCCGCACCCAGCGCCGCCTGCTGCTCCACGTCCTCGCTGGTGCGGCTGCGCCTGGCCGCCTTCTTCTTGCCCGCCGCCGCCGCCTCAAACCGCTCGCTCCACTCGTGCAGCATCTCCAGCAGCAGGCCCAGCAGCGGCTTCTCCTGCTGCAGCTCCACGTTGTGCGCCAGCGGGCGCTCTGTGTCCAGGGTCATGTGGTAGCGCGCCGCCATCTCGGGGACCACCAGCGCATCCACATCCTTGATGCCGCGCGACAGCGCCGCATCGCCCAGCGCCTGCAGCAGCAACACGGCAGACCCAGGGAGGGGAGGGTCAAGAGGGTGGCGATGAAGCAATCAAGAAGAAAGCAGAGGGGCAGCTCATGAGGCACGCAGTTGCAGGAAGAAAAGGTGAAGAAGGCATCGAGGGGGGCGTTTCATGCACGACGGGCGCGCTCCCACCTGCACCGCCGCCGCCTTGACCGCCGACGACTCCCCGTGCTCCAGCAGCTTCTGGCGCAGCACCACCAGGTGGCTGGCGGGGGAGGTGGGGATGCCCTCCAGGAAGCAGTAGAGGCCCAGGCAGCGCACCGCCTCGCGCCGCACCTGCGGGCAGGCAACCAACCAGACAAAGGTGAGGGGCGCCCGCTGCTGGATGTACCGCTTGTGTGCCATATGCAAATGGTGTTGTACGCTGCCACGCCAGCCCTGCCCCTCCCAGCAGCCCCACCTTAACGGAGCGGTGGCGCACGCCCGGCTGGATGATACCGTGCAGCAGGTCGGCCAGGCCAAAGGCGCCGCCCGCCGCCAGCGCGGGCCGCGCGCTGCGCAGCTGCTCCAGCAGCAGGCCAGCCACGCCCAGCGCGTGCACCCAGGCCTGCTCCGCCACCTCCACGCCCTCGGTGGCAAAGCCGGCCAGGCGGTGGAGGGCGCCGATGACGTCCAGCATGGCATCCGCCAGCTCAGCGGGGGAGCCGTACACCTTGCGCAGGAACAGCGCCAGCGCGCGCAGCCAGGCGTCGCTGTGCCACGCCTCCTCCCAGGCGGCCACCTCCTCGGCGTCGTCGCCGCTGCGCCGGGTGGCAGGGGGCGGCAGGCCGTAAGGGCGCCTTGTGATGCGGCAGCTGGGCGCACCAGTGAGCCGCGCCGAACTGTATAGCACCAATCCTTTTGCATGCATTCCTGCAAGCCTGCTGCCGGCCCCCAGCCCAGTGCAAGCCCACACACAGCCTCACGAGGGGCGCCCACCTGGGCGCGTCTGCCAGCAGCTGGCGCAGCATGAGCGAGGCGGCGCTCCTGCCCGCCGCATCCGCAAAGTCCATGCACTTGGCCGCCAGCTGCATGAGCTGGCCGGCGGAGAAGCGGTACCGCGCGCCACCCGCCGCGTGCTTGGCAATGATCTCAGCCATCTCTGCCACCGTGCCGGGCATGGCCGACTCGAGCGCCTCGAGCCGCTCCGCCGCCGCCGCCGCGTCGATGTTGGCGGCGGCGCCCACCTTGTTGGCGGCGGCCAGGCCCTTGCTGGTGGCCTGGCTGTGCAGCCACTCACAGACGACGCGCCAGAAGAGGGCGGAGGCGGGGCCCATGAGCACCCCGGGCTGGGAGAAATCGGCGCGCAGGCCCAGGCCGTCGCTCTCCGCCATGCGGCCCAGGTGCACCGCGTTGGCCACGCCTCGGTCCAGCAGCGTGCGCAGCACCAGCTCGCACTCCTCTGTGGTGGGGGAAGGGGAGCGCCAGCAGCAGGCTGGGCTCCCATGGCAAGCTTGCACACTACACATGCAACACGCCGCCCATGCCCCCCAGGCACGACACATGGCATGCCACCATCCCCAGACCCCCGCCGCACCTGGGTGCGCCTGCACGTTGAGCGCGTGCACCAGCTTGAGCGGCTCCCCGTCCACACCGTCCAGCCAGGCCATGACCAGGCGGCTGGCCACCGCCTCCCGCACCGACGCCGCGCGGTCGCTCAGGCCGCCCCGCAGCAGCGCCGCCGCATCGGCTACCGGCATGTCTGCCAGCGGCACGCGCTCGGCCAGCGCCATGTAAGCCATCTTGCGCACCTGCGGGGCAGCAGGGCGGGGCAGGGGGACGTGCCGGAGACGTGCGTAAGCGGCACAGCCCGCAGCAGGCGGCAGTAGTACAGGTTACAGCCTTGAATGCAGGCAGGCCGGCAGCTGGCAGGCGGGCCGCGGCTGGCGCGGGGCTCATGCGGGCGTCACAGCAGGAGGCGGCGGCGGCCTGCGCACGTCGTCGGCCTCGTCACGCGTGCGCTCCGTGAAGAACTTGCGGGTGAAGGCGGAGCAGGGCAGGGTGGCCAGGATGGCCTTGCGCACCGCCTTGCTCTTCTCCGCGGCCAGCATGTCCAGCATGGCGCGGGTGAGGGGGCAGGACCGGAAGTCGCCGCCGTCGCCGGGGTCCGGCAGGCGCGCCAGCGCGCGCACCGCCACCGCACGAATGGTGGGCTTGGCGTCCTCCAGCCGCTCCTCCATGGCCTCCTGGAAGCCGTCCAGCACGTCGTCGCTCAGCTCCGCCTCCGCCGGCAGGTTGCCCACCAGCGCGTGCAGCAGCTGGCAGAAGCGCCACCGCGCCGTGGCATCCTTGGCGTACGTCAGCCCCACCAGCGGCTCCAGCAGGCACTCGATGAAGGCCAGGCGGTCGGGGGTGCCCGCCTCGATGGCAAAGGTGCCGAAGAAACTGAGCAGGCGCGACTGGTACACCGTGGGCTGCAACAGGGCAGGGAGGCGGCGGGAGGGGCGGCGAGCGGGAGAAGCGGAGTTGGCAGCAGTAATTTGGAGCAATCAGGCACAGGAGCTGCAGTGTATGTGTACCAATGCAGCCCTGGCTACATGGTGAGCGTTCTTCCCACAAAAAACGCATCCTGCCGCCAGCACAGACCCGCCCGCACCTCGGCCACCGTCGCAAACCACTTCATCGCCGCCAGCTGCTGGTCGCGGGTGTCGTTGGCGTCGCCGGTTGCCAACTCCCACAGCATCTTGGCATACCGCACGTGGGCGCTAGCGGCCCCCCGCTGCGCCTCGTTCAGCAACTGGGGCACGGTGAGGGCAGAGCCCACGGCGCTCACGCGCCGCCTGCCCCTGGCCATGGAGAGGGGTGTGAACAGCAGCCCGTGGGCAGGGAGGTGTGAAATGCGGGGCACGTCGCGGGCTGTCCCCAAAACCGAACGCCTGGTACTTCAGTACTTCGTGGCTGCCCAGGAAGGCTCTCAGTTGGTCCTGATCGCCTTCATCACTCCACCCGACCAATCACAGCAGCTCGCCGCTGCTCGCACAGGCCTGTGACGTCGCCCATCACACCCGCCCAAACAAACACAGCCGTTCCGGCCCTGTTGGCGGCCCTCAGGGGCTGGTGACGGCATGACAGCGGCGATGACGAGCAGCAGCGTGCTGGGGCCCGCCCCGCCTGTGGAGGCCGACGAGCTGCAACAGGAGGAGAGCAGCTACTTCTCCGAGCTGCTGAGCTACAGCCTGGAGCGGCTGAGCAAGGAGCCCGAGCTGCTGCGGGCCGACCAGGAGCAGCTCCACCGCCAGCTGCAAGACACGGCGGTCGGGCACTACCGCTCCTTCATCGACACCACCCGCTGCCTGGCAGACCTGCAGCAGCAGCTGGCCGCCGCCACCGGCCACCTGGATGACCTGGCGCGCGACCTGCCCAAGCTGCAGGCCGCCTGCGACCGCTTCCGCCACTCGGCTGCCGCCATCGCCACCAAGCGCAACGACAACCGCCAGCTGTACAGTGAGTGTGGCGGGCGGGGCCATGCTCGCTCGCCATTCCCTGGGCAGCAGGCAGGGCAGGCAGCGCTGTGCGGCTACAGTTGGAAGGCTTGGAGGGGCAGGACTGCGGCCTCTCACGCGACCCTCCCACCCACCGCCCGTCCTGTGTTCCACAGGCACCCACCCGGTGGTGCTGGAGGTGCTGGAGGTGCCGCAGCTGATGGACACATGCTGCCGCAGTGGAAACTTTGACGAGGCCCTGGACCTGCGCGCCTTTGTCAACAAGGTGCGGCGGCGGGAGCGGCGGGCAGGCGCCTGCCGGCGGGGCTGCCGGAGGGGCGAGCACGCCTTGTGCCCGCCGGCCAAAAAGGCCTGCGGCCTGGCGTGAAGGGGTGTTGTGGCGAGGGCTTGGGGCGGTGGGAGTGGTGCTGCAGTACTCGTGGTAGTGCTGCAGTACATGGGAGGCGGAGTGCCAGGAGACCGCCTCGACGGCTCACCCTCCCTCCACACCCTGGTCACCCGCCCCCGCAGGTGGCCGTCATGCACGGCGACCTGCCCGTGGTGCAGCGCCTGGTTCGTGAGGCGGGCGGCGTGTCTGCAGACATGCTGGAGCAGCTGCTGCAGCGGCTGCAGGGCGCCATCCAGCTGCCCGAGTGCCTGCGCATCATCGGATACCTGCGCCGCCTGGCCGCCTTCCCCGGTGGGTGGGTGCGGGGCTGGATGGGGCGGAAAGTAACCACCGCGCTGGCCGCTTGAGCAGCAGCGGTTGAACCCGCGTTGATCCCTCCCCACCTCGCCACCGCCTGCCCATCCGCCAACCCGCCTGCTTTGCCCGCCTGCCCGCCCCCCGCGCCGCGCAGAGGCGGAGCTGCGCCGCGCCTTTCTGCAGCGCCGCGAGGCGTGGGTGGCGGGGCTGGTGGGGGAGCTGGACGACAGCCACTCGTACGAGCTCCTCAAGCGCCTGACCGACGTGTACCGCCTGCACCTGTTTGACGTGGTCATGCAGTACAGGGCCATATTCGCAGACGACCCCACCACAGACCAGGTGGGGGGGGACCCCGCCACGCGGCGGCAACGGGCAGGCAGGGGCGGAGCCAAGGCAGCCCGGGTCAGCGCCTTGCTGGATTGGCTGGCTGGATGGCTGGGGTGGTTCGCATGGATTGGATCTGAGCCCCGGCCGCGCCTGCGTGCCTCGCCCTGGTCTGCAGGGCGCCAAGGGCGGGGACGGCGGCATCCTGTATGTCTGGGCCCAGCGCCGCATCTCCGCCTACCTTGAGGTGCTGCTGCTGCCGCACCCTGCTGCCGCTGCCGCTCCCGCTGCCGCTGCCGCTCCCGCTGCGGTAGGAGGTCTCTCACAGCAGCCGGCATGCCAGCCACCCATGCATGCTGGTGCCCTGCTGTGCCCACCCTTGCTGACCCGCTCACCCTCACCCGCCTACCTGCCCGCCTGCCTGCCTGCCCCTGCTGTGCAGGCCGTGCGCCTGCACCTGCCACGCATCGGCGAGGGCGGCAGCCTGGCCAGCGTGCTTGACCACACCATGTATTGTGGCGCCAGCCTGGGCAGGGTGGGGCTGGACTTCAGGCCCCTGCTGGCCCCGCTGTTTGAGCAGGCGGTGCTGGCAATGTACAAGCAGGTGGGCGGTGGGGGCGGGGGGTGCATCCTCTGGAGAAGGGCACAGCAGTTGGCAGCAGTCCCGGCCACCCGGCATGCTGCCCGGCCCGACTCGTTGGCTGCCTCTGCGGCTGCCCATCCTCCCATCCTCGCAGGCAGTAACCTCTGCCGCCGACTCCTTCCGCCCGCTGCTGGAGGCCCACAAGTGGTCCAGCCCCAGCGCCCTGGCCACCCGCAACAGGCAGGCTAGCGACGCGGCGGCGGCGGCAGCGGCGACGGCAGCAGCAGAGGGCGACGTGGCGGCGGGAGGGGCTACGCCGGCGACGCCCCGCGGCGGCGGCGGCGGCGCGCCTCCCCCGGCCCTGGTGGACCACGTGCCGCTGGCTGTGTACGCCAACGGCCTGCTGGCGGCCTTCAACGAGCTGCGCCACTGCGCGCCGCTGTCGGTGCAGCAGCCCACGGCGGCGGCGCTGCAGGAGTCGCTGACGGCGGTGTCGGCGGCGCTGGCGCACTACGGCCTCACACACACGCTCGCCGAGCCGCAGCAGCGCGCGTTTGATGCGGCCTGCAAGGCGCACACCGCCACGCTGTGCCCCTACGTCGCCGCCTGCTACGAGCGCATCTATCCGGGCGGGGCCGCGCTGCTGGACCTGCGGGCGGTGGGCAAACCCCTCGCCGACATGGCGGCACAGAAGGAGGAGGGCAGCTGAGGCTGCACCCGCCACCGGGGCCTCGCTGCTCGGCGGTCGGCGGCCGGAAGTATTGGATGCAGTATCGGATGCAGCTTTCAAAATGATTGGAATTGGTATTCGATGTGTGTGAAATGAATCAGGTGGATGCATCCGTTGGGCTGAAGGCTGGTCTGGAGCGGGAGGCGCTACGCACAAGCAATGAGGCATGCGGACCCGCCGCATCAAAACGAGCATTATTCCTATCTGCGGGGCAGCACTGGGCCAGCGGGCCATCAGTGCAGGCCGCCGGCGAGCGAGGCGGAGCTGGGGGAGGGGAGGAGGCCGGCGGCGCTGGGGGCGCGCGCCAGCTGGCGGCGCACCAGGCTGGCGTACGTGCCCCCCGCCTCCAGCAGCTGGTCGTGCGTGCCCTGCTCCGCCACCTGGCCGTGCTGGATGACCACGATGCGGTGCGCGTCCTGCACCGTGGAGAGGCGGTGGGCGATGACCAGCACCGTGCGGCTCTTCATGGTGCGGTCCAGAGCCTCCTGCACCCGGGAAGCAAGGGGGAGGAGGCGACGTGGCACAGCGTGGCACAGCGCGGCACAGCACGCCGCCGCAGCGTGCTCGCGCGCGCATGGCCCGGCACACGTCGGCACTGCCAGAGTGCCAGCTCCCTTCCGTCTCCCGTTGCCGCCTGCGAGCTGCGGTGCGGTCCGCGGCGGGCTGGGAAGCCTGCACCCCGCGCACCTGCACCACCGCCTCGCTGTCTGCATCCAGCGCGCTGGTGGCCTCATCGAGCAGCAGCACCGCGGGGCGGCGCACTAGCGCGCGCGCGATGGCTATCCGCTGCTTCTGCCCGCCGCTCAGCTGCACCCCCTTCTCCCCACACTCGGTCTCGTAGCCATCAGGCAGCGCGCAAATGAAGTCGTGCGCATTCGCCAGCCTGCACGGTCGCGTGGCGGCGGAGCGAGCACTCAAGCAGCCGCCCTTCTCGGCCAACGACAACCCGAGGGCATCGCTGCTCGCGGCACCGAGGGGCGCCCAGGCCTGGTGGCTGGCCGCTTTGCCCGCGCCCCAGCCCACCCCAGCCCCGCGGACAGCGCAGGCGCGCGCCGCCTCACCGCGCCGCCTCCTCCACATCCGCAAACGTGGGCACCTCTTCCGGCGGCAGCCCATCCTGCTCCTCAAGCCCATACAGGATGTTCCTGCGCCGCCACATGGGCGCAGCAGCAGGGGCGCTGAGCACAGGGAGGCAAGGCGGATCCCTCCCACCAGCAGCCCGGCCAGGTGGCGACAGGCGGCGTCCCAGCATTTCATGCACACAGCGCGGCGCAGGCGTGCGGGCCGCCTGCCGGGCGCGGCCCCCCACCTGCGTATGCTGCGCGCGTACAGCACCGGCTCCTGGCTGACCAGCGCCACCCGCTGCTTCAGCCACTTGCGGTCGTACTCCCCCACGGGGCGGTCGTCAATCAGCACCCGCCCTGCGCGGCACGGGCGCGACCGGCAGGGTGGGGGGAAGATCGAGCTGAGGGGCAGGGGGCGGCTGCTCCTGCTTGCATCCGCCGCCTCCTCAGAGCAACCAGAGACCGACGACTCACCCCTCAGTACAGTAGTGTGCGCTCCAGGCTGTGCAGCCCCCACCTGTTCCCCCCACCCCCACGCCCCACACCCCCCACACCCCCACGCCCCTCACCCTCCTCCGGCACGTAGAACCGCTCCACCAGCTTGACGATGCTCGACTTGCCGCCGCCGCTGGGCCCCACCAGGGCCACAATCTCGCCGGGGTTGACCACCACGCTGAGCCCGCTGAGCACACGCAGCGTGGGGCGCGCCGGGTAGTGGAACACCACGTCCTGCATCAGGGGGGCAGGTGGGGGGGCAGGTGGCAGGGAGGGGCAGGTGGCAGGGAGGGGCAGGTGGCAGGGCCGGGGACAGAGGGAGGGCAGGAGCGAGGGCTGGAGCAAGGGCTGGAACAAGGGCAGGGCAGGTGGCAACGACGGCAGCGCTCGACGGCACGACACGACAGGCAAGGGGTGGGGCAAGCAACAAGCAACCCAGCAGCCAGCAGCCCTCCTGCCCAATCGCCACACCTCTCACCTGCACCGTGAGCTTGCCCGCAAAGGCGGCGGGCACCAGCGTGCCCGTCTCCGCCACCGCCGGCTGCCGCTTCATCAGCTCGATGACTTTGTCGGCGGCGCCCACGGCGGCGGACAGCGCGGAGAAGACGTCGCCCAGCGCCTGCACACACACGCAAGCCATGGCAAACACGCGCACACAGTGCGACACAAGCAAACCATGGGCTGCGGGCGTCCATCCCAAGCCTGCGCCTGCCTTTGGCACCAATAGCTTGGGGCCATCCCACCCAGCAGATGGGCAGGGAGCCACACCATACCATGGCCGCCATGCACACACCCCACAGCCAGCGCCTGCAGCCCACCTGGAAGGCCGCGCTGAGGCTCTGCTGGAAGAGCATGAAGGAGACGAGGCTGCCTGCGCTCATAGCTCCCTTGAGCACCAGGCTGCCGCCGTAGTACAGCACGATGGCCACCACGGCAGCTGCCAGGAAGGTGTTGGTGGCCATGTAGGCGGCGTACGCGACGGCCTCGCTGCAGGCGGCGGCAGCAGGGCAGGGGAATGAGGGTTGGCCACCCACAGCAACGGGGCAGGCTTCTCACAACAAGGGCAGGGCCCTTCGCACGCAGGCAGCGCGGCGCCGGCGCGGGTTGGGCGCGCGCGGCCCCACCGCCGCTGCAGGTGGTAGAAGCGCGTCAGCTTGGCCGCGTAGGCGGCCATCGTGGAGTCCTCCGCAGCGTGCGCCTTGACCGTGGTCATGCTGCTCAGCGCCTCCTCCGCCACGCTGTTGGCCTCTGCCAACTCCGTCTGCACCTGCACCGCCGACAGGCAGGGGGCGCGCCGGCTCGTCGGCTCACCTGCCCTGCCGCACCCAGCAGCGGCACGCTGGCGTGCGCCGGTGAGCCGCCGCGCCCGGCGCCGCAAGCAAGCAGCCGGCAGGAAGGAAAGCGCGGCGCGCGCCTTCTTGGACATGCGGCGGTAGTAGGCGCCGTAGAGCTTGCAGATGACCAGCACCAGCGGGATCATGACAAAGGTGACCACGGTGAGGCGCCAGGAGGCGGAGAACATGAAGACCAGCACCATGGCCGCCTGCGTGCTGGAGCGCAGCATGACGTTGAGGTTGAGGCAGATCTGGTCCGAGACGGTGGTGGTGTCCGCCGACAGACGGCTCGTCACCTCCCCCGTCTTGGTGGTGTCGAAGAAGCCGGCGTCCTGCGGGGGCGGGCCAGGAGGAGAGGAGAGCGGAGGCAAAGGGAGGGCTGTGGGCGGCGGGGGCCGAGGTGCAAGGGGTGGCGGGAAGAGGAGGAGCGATGGGGGCAGCAGCAGAGATAGGTTTTGCAGGGCGGCCGGCATGCGGCCAGGGCGGCGTGCCTGGTGCATGAGGGAGCGGAAGAGCTGCTGGCGGATGCGCACGTTGAGGCGCGTCATGGCCACCTGCGGCGCACCGGCACAGGTGGTGTGGGAGGGCTGGTGCCTGGGCAACAACCTGTGGCTCCCTCCTTCTCAATGCACACCCCTCCTCACAATGCACGCTCCTCCTCAGCTGCGCGACGCTCACACCGCCTCCCGGCCGCACGCACCGTGAAGAGGCCGCCGCGTATGCCGGTGAAGAAGGCGCAGCCCAGCGCCACGCCCAGCATCTTGAGGGTGGTGAGCCTGAAGGCGTGGGGGTCGGGGTCGATGGAGGCGTAGTCGATGATCTTTCCGGTGTAGTAGGGCACCAGGGCCTGCGGGGGGCGGGGCGGGGCCTTGGCAGGGGTGTGGGTGGGAGTGTGTGCATGGGCGCTGAGTTGGCGCCTGCATGCACAGCGCACGCAGCTGCAGACTGGTTTGTGTTTCCCCGGCTGCGGCGTGCCTGCCCCAGGGCCGCCGCGGCGCCGGCGGTGAATGCCATGAAGAGGATGTGGGTGTCTGGCGCGGACAGCTTGATGAGCTCCGGAATGGTGGCGCTGTCGGCCTCCTGCGGTGCGAGCCCGGCAGGCTTGGGCACGTGAGCCGCTACACGTGCCAGCTGCGCATTGCTGCTGGCCAAGCGGCATGGGCTGAGCATACCGGCCAGCCGGCGGCCGCGGGGCACTCCTCGCACCTTTGCCGCCTTGCCCTTGCCCAGCAGCGGCTGCCGCGCCCCCGCCTGCCCCGCCGCCTCCTCCGCCGCCTCGTGCTGCTTGCGCCAGCGCGCCACCAGCCGCTGGCCCAGCCAGCCCTCCATGAAGGAGCAGAGCAGGGCCACCACTATGGATGCATACATGCACAGCAGGCCCACAGAGCCAGGCGGATCCGAGGCGTCTCCGGGGTCGGGCGGCAGCAGCCGCTCCTCCCCCAGCACCGCCACCACCACCGCCTTGCCCAGCAGCAGCAGCTCAAACAGCGAGCAGCTCCAGTACACGCCGTGGGACACCTGCAATGCAGCAGCGGGCAGCACGGCGCTGTGGTGAGGCCGGGCGAGGCTGCTGGATGGCGGCGCGCCTGTGCCTCCCCCCCCTGCCCAGCCAGCCCTGGCTGGACAGCATGCAGCGGCGTGCGTGCCTTGGAGTAGGGCCCCGGGATCACCAGGCCGCTGAACCGCCGCCGCGGCGACATGACGCGGCTGAGCAGCGCCGCCACCACCGCCGTGTGCAGCATGGACAGCAGCCACACATCCAGGTTGCTGTTTGCGGCGGAGTAGAGCTCGAGGATGTCGAAGAAGTGCTGCAGGCGCCACAGGCTGCCGCGCAGCGGGTAGAGCGACGCAAAGGTGGTGGCGCCCAGCTTGATCAGCCAGGTGAGCCACAGGGCGGCCGCGGCGCGCATGGCGGTTGGGAGCGGCGCGAGGCAAGCGTGCGGAGCCAGACGGCCTTTGGCAGATAGCGGCTGCTCAGCAAATCAGCAGGCTGCATCAGGGGGCATGAAAAAATAGCAATCAATGGATCAAACACTATCACGTGCCTCCACTGGCTTGCCTTGGGCAGTGGCGGTGGCGGCGGCAACCGGGGCAGTAGCGCTAACTAGCCAACTGGCGCTGGTGCAGTGCGCCCAGCTGCAGCCGCGATTGCAACCGTGGCCACCAACGTAATGGGGCTCCTCGAGCTGTGCGCTTGCCTTTGGCGCCAAACCCCCATGCCGCGAATCAGAGTGTGGCAGATCCAGGCTGCGGCGAGGGATTCAATACTGACACACGCTCTAGGATTCGCCGCTTTGTTGGTGGTGGGCGCACACAGTCCCTCCTCCTGGCTTGGCGCAGTTCACTGTCGCAGTGAGTGCTGCAGGCGTGCAGGTGATAAGGAGAGGGGATTGGACTGGCAAGTGATATGCAGGCGATGCAGGCCAGTGGGACAAAGTTCCAGCTGGCGCCGGTGGCGGGTGATGGTCCGCCACATGTGCGCTGCTTGCCACAGGGGGTTTTCTGTGCCGCCCTTACAGAATATTCATTGCAGCAAGCTCAACAACATGATGGAACTGCGAGCAGCCACATGAACTGCGCAAGTGCCGGATGGCTGAGCATTGGCGCGGGTCCACGCGCTGCTCGGGGGGCCTGCTCCGCATTGCCCTCCACCAGACCTCTGGGGGCAGGCCAAAACAAAAGCGGCCCGCACCCAGACCCGCCGCCACTGCCTCCAAGCTCACACCCAGCCCAGCCACCTGAGCACCAGCGCGACGACCAGCACCGCAATGGCGATGGCCAGAGCGCCCTGGCTGAGGGCCCACGCCTTGGCGCGGCGGTACGCGGTGAGTAGCGCGTTGACAAAGGCCATGACGCGCGCAATGATCTCCAGATGCTTGTCTGCAGAGGCGGGCAAGGCGGGAGGAAAGCAGGGGGAAGGCGGCGTGACGAGCAGCACGGGTGGCAGGAGGAGAGGAGCAGGCAGGCTGTTGGGCGAGCGGGGGCCAGCGGCGAGAGCACCCAGGGCACCAGGCAGGGCTAATGCGTGCGTAGAGCACACCCCTTGCCTGCCGCCACAGTCTGTCCTGCTGCCTCCAGCCAGCCCCAGCCCCGCCCCCCAGCCCCAGCTCCCGCCACCCACCCGACACGCTGTCCAGCTTGTCCACCATGCTGCGCGCCTGCTCCGGCGTCACATTCACCCCGCTCCCCTTCATCATCTCAGCCAGCTGCGCCGGATCCATACTCTTCATCATGCCCTGCGCCGGCGAGGCAGCAGTGGAGGGAAGCGGCAGGCCTCAGGCAGGGAAGGGACTGGCTTGGAGGCACACACGAAGGCGCACACATCCCAACAGCTGCCCTCCTCGCTCTCCCCGTCTTCCCTGCCCCACCTTCATCATCTTCAGCACCTCGGGGTCCTGCATGCGCTTGCGCATGTCGTCCATCATGCCCGCAGGCATGCTGCTGGGGTCAAACCCGCCGGGAGGCATCCCGGCCAGCGCCGCCGCCGCGCCGGGGGCCGCGGCCGCGCCGCCGCCGCCGCCAGCTGCAGCCGCCGTGCCGGGCCCCATCCCCATGCTTGCTGCCATGCACGTCATGCGCTCCATGTCCTGCGGGCTCATGCTGGCCATCATCTTGGCGGCCATCTTCATTTGGGCGGGGTCGGCCTGCAAGACGACAGGTGGCAGGAGGGGGCGGAGCATGGCGGGGGAGCAGGCCTGGGGTGCCAGAAGGGTGCCTGCTTGTGCTGGCGACGTGACTCGCAGGCACGGCCTCGCTACATCACCCGCGGCAGCCTGCCGGCATGGCTGAGCTGGCGGCCAGCGCCCCCTGCACGCCCACCTGCATACCGCTGGCCCCCGGCATCATGGCAGCCATGCGCTGCAGCTCCGCCTCATCCATGCTCTCCATCATCGCCGCCGCCTGCTTCATCATCTCAGGGTTCTGACGCATCGCCTCCGCAGCAGCCGCCATCTGGTCGCCGCCGGGCGGGGCAGCAGCCGTCACGGGTGTCGCCGACGCCGCAGCCGCCGCGGCCGCGGCGGGCGGCGGCACGGGGAAGGCGCCGCCGCCGCTGGCCGCCACCGCCGCAGACAGCTGCTCGGGCGGCATGCTGCGCATCATGGCAGCAGCCTGCTTGGCCATCTCGGGTGTGACTCCTGGCATGCCGCTCTGCGCCGCCAGCGCAGCAATCTGGTCGTCGCTCATGGCAGCCATGGCGGCGGCCGCCTGGCGAGCCATCTCGGGGTTGGACTGCGCGGCAGGGAGGTGGGGGTATGGGGGTGGAGGAGGATCGGTGTGGGAATGGGAAAAGGGAGCAGCAAAGTCGCGGGCAGGGCCGGGATGCATGGTCAGAGGCAGGTGCAGGTGCAGGCAGGAGGCTGGGCGCCGATTGGCTCTGGCCAGCAAACGGGTGCTGGTGTGCAGGCCCAGCTGGCCCCAGCAGCAGGCGCGTGAGCACCTTGAGCATGTCCGCCGTCTGCTGCATGCGCTGCGGATCAACGCCCGGTGGGACAAACGCCGGCATGCCAAACCCTGCCGCGCCGCTAGCACCCGCTGCTCCTGCTGCTGCTCCTGCTGCTGCTCCTGCTGCCGCCCCGACTGGCACCTCCTCCAGCGGCGGCATGTCGTCATCTGTGTCCGACTGGGCCACGCCCTCACGCTGCTCCCCCTCTACCGCCGCCTCTGTCACCTCCTCAATGACAAAGCCTGCGGCACCAGCGCCAGCACCATGCTCCAGTCAGAACCCCACCACACCCAGCTTGGCAGGAGCACGCCATGGCGGTCGAATGCACCACACACAATGATAGAAGCTAGCATGCGTGACCGCATGCTCCAGGCAACAGAGGTACGCCCTGCAGCCAGCATGCCTCCCAGCCAGCCGGCATGTGCACCCACCTTGAGATGCCTGCTTCTGCTTCTGCTTGGCCTCCGCCAGCTTCTCCCGAATGATGTCCTTCTCCGATTCCGGAGACAGGCTGACCGCCTGGCGCAGATCCTGTACCGCGCTATCGTACTGCCCCAGCGCGCACAGCGCCTGGCCTGCACGCATCAGAGGAGTGTAGGAAACAGACGCAGGGCCCCTTGGCGAGGGCACGCTTGGTGGGTGTGGTAGGCCCCCGGCCAACATGTGCAAATGCCAGGATGCGCCAATGCACGCGCATGCCGCCAGCCACACCACACTGGAATCATCCCCAGCTTGCCATCCTCCGTTTCTCCCCAGCACCCGCACCTCGGCGGTACAGCGCTTTGCGGTTACTGCTCTCCAGCGCCAGCACGGTGCCACACATGTCCACGCACTCCCGCCAGCGCTCCAGCTGCAGGAAGCAGCTCGCCAGGTTGCTCTGGCAGCTGATGCGCAGCTCGCGGCTCTGCTGGCTGGTGTGGCCTGCAGGGAGGGGCAGGTGCAGGCAGATGCATGTGCAGAGGGAGAGGCAAGGCCTGCAGCTGTAGACGCAAGACGCAAGACGGGTGTCATGCGGCCAGCCCACGAGCTCCACCACCCGCAAGCGCATCCACCGTGAGAGCCCACCCTGGAGGTTGGACACCGCGCGCTCGTACTTCTCCGCCGCCTCGCGGAAGCGCTTGGCGCCGTGCAGCTTGTTGCCCTCCTGCTTCAGCTGCGCCGCCGCCGCAAGCTGGTACTTGAGCTGTCCGCTCTGCTGGTCCACCTGGCTGGCCGCCTGGCTGGCAAACTGGTCCCCAGACATGCCTGCAGTGGCTGACCGCATCTGTTGAATCTGCTCGGGCGTCGCATTCTGCGCGGGGGGCAAGGGGTTGAGAGAGCCAGGGTGGTCGGTGTCTGGCTGTGGATCGTCCGAAGGTATGGCAACCGTACCGCCGCACCTGCATCTGGCCCATGGCTTGCTGCATCATCTCCGGCGGCATGTTCTGGGCCATGCGCTGCATCTCCGCCATCTGCAGTGTGGCGGGGCACCCACAGAGCGGTCAATACTGCCAATCGTCGGCGGAACTGCACCATTCAGTTTTGATGGAGGACAACGAGGGAGGCTTGCCTGCTCTGGCGTCATTTTGCTCATCATGTCCTGCGCCATCGCCATCATCTCCGGGTTGAACATCCTGATCAGGCTGTCCCAGGAAAACTGGCAATCAGCCGAGGTCCGAAGTGCACAGCTCAAAATCTGCACAGCGGCGGCGGGTGGCGGCAGGTTGGGACGCTGGCACCAGTCGTCCGTGGCCGCTCCGGTGATGCCCAACCCTCGCTGGCGACGATAGGCACAGACCTAGCTGCGGTTGACGGCGTGCGCACGCCGCCTGCTGAATTCTCAGACAACTAAAGTCCGCTGCTGCCTCTCCCAACCGGGGTAATCACTTCTTCGCCAAGATGGTGGCGTCTGCTAGAGGCAGGGCCGCCCAAGAGCTCTCCTGGGCATCGCAGTACGTATACGTGTACGGCAGGCGCCGCTCCGACCGGGCTAGTAACGGCGCAGGCCTGGCGCATATGAGTCCCGGAACGTGACATCTTTAGCAAGCCATCGCGCCGTCGCATCAGGTTGCCATGTCCCATGCTCGTTGCCTCCTGGTGCCTCAGCAGTGACGTTCTCATCAAGGTCAGGCCCTCTAGTGCTCACGGCGTAGCGAGATCAACGTGGCGCAGAGCCCGTAGCAGGGGAACCGTGCGGGCGCTCGTCACCGCCGCCGCTGCCGCTCGCGCTAGCAAGGCAGTGCCGGCAGCTTGGGCGGGTGCCACACGCACAGGGCACACCAAAGACCAGATGGCACTGGAGCAGGAGCCAGCGGTCTGGCACTCACTGGGCACGCCGGCCTCGGAGCTGAGGCTGGAGTGGACTCTGCCGACGGGTGAGGCGCTGCTTGGCGGGAAAAGTGCGGCTGCCTGCAGTTGCTGCTGTTTGCCTTACGCCTGGCCACTGGAATCCGATTGGAGCGCAGGCCAGTCGTTCCGCTGGCGGCAGACCGGCAGCGAGCCGCTGGAGTTCACGGGCGTCATCGGCCAGCGCGCGGTGCGCCACCAACCATAGCTGTGCTGCATATTCTGGAGCTTGTGAGGGGTGGCGGGGCGCTGGCCTGGCCCTGGGAAGCCAAGCTGCCACTGCCCTGAGCAGCCCGCCACCCCGGGGTGCGCCCGCCCCTTGCGCGCTCTGCTGCCACCTGCTGCAGGTGCGCCTGCGCCAGCTGCCGGACGATGTGCAGTACCAGGTCGTAGCGCGCGGCGCTGGCGCGGCAGCGGCTGCCGATGCCGCCGCCCTGCACGACTACTTCAACTTGGGCACCCGCCTGGCTGACCTGGCGCCCAGCTGGCGCGCCGCCTGCCCGCGCTACGCCCACGTGCACCACCTGCTGCCAGGCGCTCGCATGCTGCGCCAGGACCCGCTGGAGTGCTCCATGGAGTGTGAGTGTGTGTGGTGAGGGTGTGAGCGTGTGCTGTGTGGCGGGACTCTCTGAAACATTGCTTATGAGATTGTAAGTCAGAGGATAGGTATTTCTTTCACTTCTCCTGTCGTGTGTTCTCCTCCTCGTTCTGTTCCCACAGTCATCTGCAGCCAGAACAACCACATCCAGCGCATCCACGGCATGGTGGAGCGGCTGTGCCGCCAGCACGGCACGCCGCTGCTGGCCGCGGCCGGCGACGGCAGCGTGCCGCCAGCGGGCGCCACGCCCGCCAAGCTGGCGCTGCACGCCTTCCCAACCCTGGAGCAGCTGTCGGCTGCCACCGAGGAGGAGCTGCGAGCAGACGGCTATGGCTACCGCGCCAAGTACATCACCGGCAGCGTGGCGCAGCTGCTGGCCAAGCCGGAGGGCGGCGCCGCATGGCTGCTGGGCCTGAGGAGCGTGCCGTACGAAGGTGAGCAACTCTGTGCAACTCACCCTCCGCCTGCCCGCCAGATTGGTAGGACCAGGCCGCCTGCCGCCTGCTGCTCGCTGACTCTGCCTGTGGGGTGCGTGCCTGCATGCGCAGAGGCTGTGGAGGAGCTGTGTACGCTGCCTGGCATTGGGCCCAAGGTTGCCGCCTGCATTGCTCTCTTCTCCCTGGACAAGCATGAGGCCATCCCAGGTGCGGCTGCTGCCCCCTGCTCCTCCTCTCTGCCGGGTATGGGTGGCGTGGAGACTCTTGTGTCACATCGTGGGTTGCGAAAGAGCAGCAACCACGGGAGCAGACACCGGGTGCTAGTGTTAAAGGTTCAAGAAACTGGAAGGGTTCAACAGACAACAGGCTGAGGATCAAATCAAGAACCGGTTAGTTTCTGAGCACGGAACATTAAAGACTGAAAGGGATCTGACCAAGGGAAATGCGCAGAGGTGGGGGAAAAGGAGCTGAGAGTGGCTGACGGTGGATGTGTGGGCACAATGCACAGACTGTACTGTGGTATTAGATTGGCAAGGGCAGGCAAAACTGCTCATGCAGTACTCAGGAAGGATCAGACGGGCGGGTATTCATACAGAGGGAAAATTGTGGCGCAGCTGAGGTGCGGCAGTGAAGTGCTGGGTTTCGAATCGGTTCACAACCGAGGCAAGGATTTGTGCGGGGCATGGGTTGGAGCAAGGATTGTGTTCCGGGGTGCTGTGTGGAGCGGGGGTATGTTGTACAGCCGCAACAGCGCTAAAGGGCTGTGGGGAGGCAGGGCGGAGGCTACAATACAGCTGCGCAGAGTGCAGCGGTGCTCAGGCGGCCTGGCTGGGCACAGGCACTGTGCGCCTACCAATGGCCATGCTGAGGTTGGGGGAGCGGCGGAAGCTGAAGCGGAATGGCATGGAGGGGTCCAGCACCAGCACCTGGTGCACATCCAGCGATGGCTCCGCCCGCTGAAACTCCTGCACGCAGAGGCGCCATGTGGCAAGTGCCAGGTTGGGCCAGCTTCTGTGGCAGGCACTGAGGTGCGGGGCAGGCTGTATGCTGCCAAGGAATGCAAGGCCACCTGCAGCTACAAGGTGGAGGCCCTTACCTTGATGGCCTTCCTCAGCGTCTTCACATCCAGCAGCGAGGGCTGGTCCTCCACAAGCCTGCAGGCGGGAACATATAAACTTTGGTTACCTTTGGCTACAGTGTGATTTGTGCTGTGTTGCACTGCTGCTGTGGTGTGTTGGCTGTGGCCAAGCCACCGGGCAGCAGCCGCGTGGCACCCACCTGTCGATGTCCATGCCGGGCAGCATGCGGCGCAGCTCTGCCGCTGCACGCTGGAGGCGGAAGATGGTTGAGCCGTAGACCAGGAAGGGCTCGCGCAGCGCCAGCTTGAAGGCATCGGCGCCGGGGAAAATGGCGCGCAGCTGCACAGCGGCAGGGAGGGGCGGGCGGGCGGGCGGAACCAGAACAAAGTCAAAACCGTGTGGTCTCATCACAGCATTCCGTCCAAAAGGTGGTGGGGCTGCCATGGAGCAAGCAGCTTGTGGTGGCAGCCCAAGGTACAAACACAACGGCTCGCTTGCCTGCAGCAGGCGCGCCGCCACGGCGGTGACGTCGGCCGCCATCCTGGCCACAGTGTTGGGGTCCATAGTGTGCAGCTGCTGCTGCAGGCCGGGCAGCAGCTGCTGCAGCTGCTGCAGGCGCCGCCCAGCCTCCTCTTCGCTGAGCTGCAGCTGCTGGGCCACGAGTGCCTGCACCACACGCAAGGCGGACAGCGGGAATGCCCGTCGGGTCAGAACTCCCGCCCACAGAAACGCACCCAGCATGCGGTGCACTGCGCCCACGCATGCCAGAACCGCTCATGGGCTCACCCTGATGCGGCTCTGCTGCTCCCAGTGGCTGGAGGGCACTGGCGTGGAGGCTGGCTGCGCGACCGGCCCGGCGCTGCCGGGCGCCTCGGTGACCAGTGGCCCACCAGTGCCCCGCCCCGCCGCCTGGCGGCTGGCTGGCTGGCTGAATTGGTGTGGTGGAAAGCCGGTGAACTTGTAGGTTCGCTGGGTGGGTGGCTGGTGGTCAATCATTGAAGAGGCGCGGGGGCAGTGTTGGTGTGATGAGAACCTCCGCCACCCTGCTCCCCTGCCCCCGATCATTGCTTCCCTGGGCGATCTGGTGCGGTTGCCGGCGGGCGAAAGCGTGCCGCTGCGCTCGAGGGTGGTGGGGTTGGCTAGCATGGCGCGCTAGCAAACCCGACAGCAGCACCTGGTCTTGGCCACAAGGATGCCAGCAATGGATCGAGAGAGTGGTAACTGATGCAGGGACTGGAGGATGAGTGCGGGATTTGCCATGTCTGAGGTTTTGACCAGGCGCCGCTGGCCAGCGCGCGCAGCAGGAGCGCAATGATCATGCTCCACATGTGTCCTTGTTTTGGGGCTCATTCGGGTCTGGAAAGCACAAGCCTATCATCCAGAATGCAGTAGACAGCCCCATGCCCCACCCGTTGCTCGCCCCACCCGTGCAGTGGACACCCACGTCTGGGCGCTGGCCTGCAAGTACTACCTGCCGCACCTGCGCGGCAAAAGCTTGACAAAGAAGGTGTGCATCGAGTGGCGGGCCGGCTGCCGGATTGCTGCACATGTCCCTTGCGCCTCGGCTCCATCTGATGAGATGCTGCTGTGCCGGCCTGTTGTGCAGGTGCACGGCGAGGTGCAGGCGGCGTTTGTCAAGAGGTTTGGGCCCTATTGCGGCTGGGCCCACAACACTCTCTTCATTGCTGAGCTGGCCAGCACGCGGGACAAGATCCCAGCCATCGGCAGCGGCAGCAAGCGCGCCGCCCCCGCCAGCGGCAGCGACAGCGAGGACGAGGGGGACGGCGAGGAGGAGGGCAAGGTCGGGGGCAGCAGCGAGACGAGCGGCGGCAGCGCTGTAGTCGAGAAGGAGAGCGGCGTGCTGGCCGCTGGGCTGCTGCCTGTTACACCGCCGGGCGGCGATGCCCAGCCAGCGGGCACTGCGCCGCACGAAGCGGCCTCAAAGCGGCCACGGCGGCGGGCAACCAAGAAGACCACAGGAGGAGCCTGAAGACCACGGGAGGTGCAGCTCAGTCGGGAACCGCCGCTAGTTCTGTTCCTCGGTAGTTTACAAGGCTGCCAGCACTGTACAATCATATCTTACTAACATCAGTTTCTGAAAATTGCTTGGCATCGCATGCTCGTGACTATCATGTAATGCTCTGCGTAATGCACATGTGTGTGTGCCATCTCCAGCATCGCCACCCCACCTCTCCCCACCTCTCACAGCTACCTCTCACAGCTACCTCTCTACAGCTCCATCAGCATGCGCACGTCGTTGATGCGCTCCTGGCGGATATCCTCCGCCTTGCGGCGGTCGAAGGCCACCCGCATCAGATCCCGCTTCTGCTCCTGGAGCGCCTGCACGACACCCAGCAACGGCACAGGCTGCGTGAGTCCGCAGGCAGCACAGGCATCCTGGCGGCCAGCGTGCGCCAGCAGGCGCAGGCCGGCGCACGCTCACCAGCATGCGCTCCTCGATGCTGTCCTGCACCGTGTACCTGCAAGCGGTGCAGCAGCCAGCGCTGCCATGGGCAGGTCAAAGCTGCCAGCAGAGCCAGCACGCAGCATCCAGCCAGCCAGCCAGCCAGCCAGCCGCCCAGCCAGCTGCGGCCCGTGCCCGGCGGCGGCTTGCCTGTAGATGTGCACGGCGCGGGTCTGGCCCAGGCGGTGCACGCGGTCCATGGCCTGCTCCTCCACCGAGGGATTCCACCACGGGTCCAGCAGGTGCACCCGGGAGGCGGCGGTCAGGTTGAGGCCCACGCCGCCCGCCTTGAGGCTCACCAGCAGCACCGTGGGGCTGCTGGCGCTGCCTGCAGGGTGACGGGGCAGCTCCACCGGTCTTGTTGGCAGCAGGCAGGCAGGCCATAGGAAGAGAGTATGCCACCACACCCAGCAGGTGGCGGATCATCGCCGTGAGCGGCAGCAGGCAGCGCCGCGGCTCACTGGACTGGAAGGCGCGCAGCACCTCGCCGCGCCGCTTCGCGCTGGTCTTGCCATCCAGGCGCCCGGTGACAAACCCCTCGCCAGCCAGCGCCGCCTGCATGTTTTGGTTGCGAGCGTCCCCGGGAGGATGGAGAAAAAAAAAAACTGAAAAAACTGATTTAAAAATCAGAAAAGAAAGATTTAAAGCTACTGCTGGCAGGACAGGTAGTTCATGGTGGCCAGCGCATGCGCACCTCCACCAAGTCGAGATACGAGGTAAACTGGCTGAAGACGACGCTCTTGACTGCGCCGCCGCCGGCCCCCGCCGCCGCCCCCGCCGCGGTGGCCGCCGCATCCTGGCGCAGGCGCTCCAGCAGCGCAGCCACCTTGGCGCTGCCAAACCCGCCGCCTCCAGCGGCAGACGCGGCGGCGGCGCCGCCGCGGGAGGCGGCTGCGGCTGCGGCGGCCTCCTGTGTGCCCGCCTCTGGCTCCTCAGGCACCTCCACTAGCTCCTTCTCTGTGGGCAGGCGAGTGGGGCAACACGCAACAACTTCCGACCATAGGTGCACTGGAGCACGCTCTGGGTTGGCATTCAGCCTATCCTGGCACGCTCGCGCCAACCCTGGGAGCGGGAGCATCCCACCCAGCATGCGCAGAGGTCCCGTGAGCCTGCTGCACCTGAGATGGCGCCACGGCACATGGGGCAGGCAGCCTTGTCTCGGTTGATCACCATTTGGATGCACCTACAGGGGGCGCGACGGTGGCGCAGGATGAGCGGCGGCATGCTGCGCTGCCCCGGCGGTGCGACCCTGGGCGCAGGAGCGCCGCCCCTCACCGCTTGCAGAAGATGTGCTTGCACAGGGTGATGCACGGCTGCGCCAGCTCGCTCAGGCACACGGGGCACTCCTCATCCAGCCCCGCCCTGAGCAGCTCCACCAGCTGCGCGGCCAGCTCGGGCGTCAGCTTGGCGCCGGCGGCGGGCTGCTGCGCCAGGAAGGACGGGTCCTCGCCTGGCGCCAGCGAGGCGTGGCAGCAGATCTGCGGGACCAGCGGGGCACAGGAAATGCCTGGGTGGGGTCGAGCAGGCGGTTGGCTGTTGCGCGCTGGTGAGGCACGGCAGGCGCGCGGCCGCACGACAGGCGCCCGACAGGCGCACCAGCAAGGCTGGCTCCACCCGCACCCACCTGCCTCGGCCTGAGCAGCACCTCCAGAACCATGGTGTAGTTCTGCAGCAGCGTGCCCTCCTCCAGGTGACGCTCCACGATGGCCCGCCCTGCACGCACGACGCGGGCCAGCGGCGGGACGTGTGAATCCCGCAATGGTGAGCCAGCCTGAGGCTGAAGCAGCACATGCTGAGCCTCGCCCTCAGCAGAGCAGGGCACAGGGCGGGCACAGCCATATGCCCTTGCAATGCCGAAGACACCCCACGCTGCGGCCGCCGCGCCCCTCCCCGCTCACCCGCCGCCTGCCAGCGCTCGTACTTGGCTCGCGACGCCGCATCCAGCTGCACCGCCACCTGGTGCACCGTCTTGTCGGGCAGCGCCACCAGCGGGCGGCCGTTCACCTGCTGCGCCTTGGTGCGCCGCAGAGCGATGGTGCCCATCAGCACCTGCGCTGGGCGGAAGGGCAGGGCAGGGAGGGCAGGCGGCTGAGGGAGTGAGGGAACTCGAGGCGCTGTTGCTTGGCCAGCCTACAGCGGCACTGTCAGCACATGCACAACTCTGGAGAAGTCGTGCACGCCACAACGCAAACGCACGCAGCTGCCGATGCCGCCCAGCCAGCCGCCCGCCCGCCCCGTACGCCCTACCTGCAGGCGCTTGAGGCCCAGCGGGTCCCGCGCCTTGATGGGCCGCTCCAGGGTGCGCACAAACAGGGCGCGGTCGTCCAGCGGCTCGAGGCGCAGGAAGCGGGTGATGCCGTGCAGGTCCTGTGTGTGTGTGTGGGCGTGTGGAAGGGAGGCGGCAGCAGTGGAGGGTTGTGGTGGGAGGCGGCATGGAGGGGACGGCGGGCCAGGAACCAAGGCGGTCCTGCGCACTTCCGGCGCTTGACTGCATCAGGAGCTGCATCTGCACGTGCGTGCCTGAGCCCCCTCGCCCACCGCCCACCTGCAGCGTGTTCTGCAGCGGCGTGCCGGTGATGGCCCAGCGGCGCTCCGCCCTGAGCGCGTACGCCGCCCTGGCCATCTGCGTGTTGGTGTTCTTGATGGTGTGAGCCTCGTCCGCGCACACGCGCAGCCAGTCCACCTGCGGGCCAGCCGGGCGCAGGAAGGGGGTGCAGCCGCCCGTCATCACCCCAGTGGCCTCCCACTTGCGGCGTGCCTCTCTGTTCACCACATGACACCACCCACCTTGCACACGCCATTCTGCAGGCTGAGCTCCTGCGCCAGGATGTTGTATGTGGTGATGACGACTGCGGGTGGAGGGGGGAGGATTCAAACCAGGTGAGGCAGGCAGGCAGGCGCATGCGGCTCCGCCCCAGAGGGCCTCCTAGCGGGCGGGCGGGGTAGCCGGCAGCCCGCAGCTCGGTGCCTGCCGCCAGCCAGACGCTGCCACGCTCTCTGCTCACCGTCGTAGCTGCTGAGGGAGGCCACACGGCGGTCGCGGTCGGGCCCATGGTAGACGCACACTGCAGCACCCCACTGGCAGCCAGGCAGGCGGTGACGTCAGCCTCCCCCTGCACCTCTCCCCCAGTGTGCCTTGCACCGCAGCGCTGCCGGCTGCCTCTGCCCCTCCCACCTGAAAGCTTGCCCTGTGTGTGCTCCTCCAGCTGCATCTGCCAGTTGCTCATCACGGACAGCGGGCAGACGATGAGCGTGCCACGAGGCCCGCTGGCCGCCGGTGGCGCCGCCGGCACCTCCTCGGCCACAGCCCGCTCCGCCGCCTCGACCGCAAGCTTGCCCGCCTTGGTCTTGGGCGCCTGGCTGGGGCCGGCAGCCTTGGCGGCCGGCTTGGCGCCCACCTTCTCCTTGCCCTTGCGCTGCCGCTTCTTGGGGCGCTCCTCCTGCTCCTCCTCCTCCGCCGCCGCATCATCACCCTGCCTTGCCAGCCCCGCCTCCGCTTCTGCCTCTCCCTCTGTGAAGAACCTGAGCTGGCGCCGCTGCACGCCCGGCGCGTTGGTGCAGGTGAGGGCGATGACCTGCAGCGGCCGCAGGGGCGGAGCCTGCTTCAACCACCCACCCTCTCTGCGCGGCACAGGCGGCATCCAAACAACCCTCACAGCCAGCTGATGTGACCAGCCATGGTATCTGCCCCGTCACTTTACACGCTGAGCAGTCCTTTTCCCCCACAGATGGTGCATCGCCCCGCACCTGCAGTGTCTTCCCGAGTCCCATATCATCACATAAGATGCCGCCCTTCAGTGCCCGCGGCCGGCTGGTGGAGATGAAGTTGGTGAGCTGCGGGTGGGGGCCAGAGGCGCGGGTGGCCAGGCACGGCAGGTGTGTGAACAGCAGGGGCGCAGCGCAGGCATGGGGCTGAGAAGGGCGGAGGGGCAAGCCGGATGGGGCGTGCTACAGCCCACAGGTGGACTCCACTCCTGCGCCCCAACTGCTGCGCCCCACCTGTGACACATACGTCAGCCGGCCGCCCGCGTCCGCCACCCGTGGCCCCCAGAAGGGCGGCAGCGCGTTGCTGTTCTCGCGGCGCACCATCCAGGCCAGCGCCTCCTGCTGGTGAGGGTACAGCGCGGTGACCACCTCGGGGGAGGCCGCCAGGCGCTGCCGCGGCCCCGACTCCGCCATCAGCTCTGCATGAGCATGGGAGCAAAGCATGGCGCGTGCAAGTATCGCTGTGCCTGGCCTGGCCGTCGGCAGGCAGGCAGGCAGGCGCCCATGCCCCTCCCCATGCCACCTCCGCTGCCCCGCTTCCTGTCCCACCATCAAACAGGCGGTCAACAGAATCCTCCATCTGCTTTGCGCTCAGGCGGGCGGGTGCCTCGGCGGTGGCGCTGGTGCTGGCCCCGCCACGGCCGCTGGCGCCGCCGCCGCGGCCGCCGCTGCCGCCGCCGCCGGCCTGTGCCGGGTCGTTCAGCACCTTGCCGGCTGCCCGCAGCCGCGCCACCACCCGCTGCCGGTTCTGCGGCTCCGCAAAGCACCAGAGCTGCACCGGCATCTTGAACGCGCCTCCGGCGCGCCTGCAAGAAGGGGCCCTACGCCACGTGACGTAATGACGAGCAACCTTGGGAGCTTGCAGGCAAACAGGCGAGAGCCCAGGCGAGCCGCCACTCACGGCACAATCCCTTCCAGGACCAGCAAGCCTTGGTCGATGAGCGGCGACAGCTGCAAGGCGGAGATGGGGAGCCCAGGTGGGACAGATGCCGGGAGGTGAGCAGGCAGCGCTTGCCACAGGAGGTGCCCCCCCGCCGCTGCCGCGGCCCAGCACAGCGGTGCAGGCACTCACGTGGCAGACCAGCACGCGCGGCAGGTGCCCCACTTTCACGTTTCGCACGTTGTCGACGCGGATCGCCCAGCCGTCGTCTGCAGGGGGGCCCGCGGCCCATCAGGGTGTGCGGGGTGGAGAGCGAGGCGGTGGTGGTGTGCCATGCAAGCGGCCAGGCCATGCAAGCGGCAAGGGCGTCCAAAGGGAAGACGCAAGCAGGGCTCACAGGGGTTGTCTGGCTCGCGGATCAGTGTCACCATCTGCAGCGGCCATGATGACGAGAGGGTTGGGCAGGGAAAGGAGCGGCGGCCGCGGCGCAGCGCGACGGGCGGACCAGCGATGAGCACGTCCCCAGAGCAGTGCTGGCCCCTTTCTCGCCCCCGCCTGAACGCCCACCTCATTCACATTTACTTCACCCTGCAGGCAGCAAGGAACGAGGAGGCTGAGAGGCCCGTGTGATCCAGGGCTGCAACAGGGTATGTTTTGTTAACTCGCATTGTAATACTGGATGCCCACTACCGAGTCCTGGAACCAGCCCAGGCACTCCAGCTCCTCCTCCTCCTGATCATCTCCAGACTCCTCCACCTCAACCTCACGGGCAGGCCGCGACGCCATGGTGCTGCACTCGGATTGCACAAGGAGAGGACGATGCCGGGACGCGTGTATCGATCACATGGATCCATCCCGGCAGGCTGTGAACTGCGAAACACGTGGCAAAGCATGGGCGGTAAATTAGCACCCTGATGCTCTATTGGGTTGGTGCCGCTACGTCGTGGACCACTGTGTCGATGGCTGGCGCACCATGTGATGCGTGTGACATCTCCCCCACGTACCTTGCCTGTGAAGCGCTCTATTGCCGCCTCGCTCCTTTACAAGAGAGAGCTTTGTGCAGTGCACATTCTATAACCCGCGTGCACATCCATCACCCTCACCACTGACCGCCACCGCCTCCCGCCCCCGCCCCCCGCCTCACTCCGCCGTGGTGTCCAGGATACCCACTCAACCCAGTGCTGGGCCTGCTTTGACCCGCCACACTCTGCGCCATGGCCCCGCCCGTCACGGTGCTGATGGTGGCGGAGAAGCCGTCGCTGGCCAAGAGCATCGCCGAGTTCCTGTCCGGCGGTCGCATGTCGTCCCGCCACACCAACCTGGATGTGCACACCTTTGACGCCACCTTCCGCGGCCGGCCCGCCCAGTTCAAAATGACGTCCGTCATCGGCCACGTCCTCAGCATCGATTTCCCAGGTGCAGCTCCCCCGGTGGCAACCGTGGCCAAGCATAGCGTGCCGCGCCTGCAGGTCAACAGCGAGTACTCACTCCAGGCCACACGCCTGCGCTGCCGCTGCCTCCCCACCCCGCAGCCGAGTACCAGTCGTGGGACAAGACCGACCCGGGCACGCTCTTCGACGCCCCCACCATCAAGTGCGAGGCCAACCCCAAGGCGCGGGTGTGCCGCCACCTGCAGGGCGAGGCCAAGGGCGCAGACTATCTGGTGCTGTGGCTGGACTGCGACCGAGAGGGCGAGAACATCTGCTTCGGTGCGCGGCAGGGCAGCGGGCAGCGGGTCGGCGGTTGCGCAGCGGGGGGCAGCTGGGGCCATGGATTGGTTGGCCTGCTTCTGGCGCGCACTTGCCCCACGCTGCCCCACCCGCCGCTGCCGCAGAAGTGATGGACAACACGGTGCGGTGGATGAACCGCGTGGCCGACCAGCAGGTATACCGCGCCCGCTTCTCAGGTGGGCCTCACGGCTGCCGTGCCGGCGCGGCAGCGCCCCGGCGCCGGGGAGCGCGCTGCTGGCCAAGGGCCGTGAGCCGCCGCCCTGCGCCGTGCCCTGCGCTCCGCCACCGCAGCCATCAGCGCTCCCGAGATCCGGCAGGCCATGGCTTCGCTGGTGGAGCCGAATAGGGCAGAGGCGCTGGCGGTGGATGCACGGCAGGAGCTGGACCTAAAAGTGGGGGTGGCCTTCACCAGGTGGGGCCCCTGCTGCTGCTGCCCCTGCCTGCCCCTGCCCCTGCTTGCACCGCCGGAGCGGGCGGCAGCTGCAGGCCCCGGCCCTGCCTGCCTGCAAGGCCCGCCTGCGCCATTAGGGCCGGGGATCCTGCTGCTGTTTCGCACAGGTCCCTGCTGCTGCACAGGGGCGTTTTGTATCCTCGTGCCTTCCTTCCACTGATGTGCTGTGCCCTGGGGAGAGAGGGTGCAGGTTCCAGTCCCGCTTCTTCCAGGCCAAGTACGGCAACCTGGACAGCGCAGTCATCTCCTACGGCCCCTGCCAGACCCCCACCCTCAACTTCTGCGTCGAGCGCCACCAGGCCATCGTCAGCTTCCAGCCGGAGCCCTTCTGGGTGGTGCGGCCGCGGGCCTCCCAGGCGGGACACGCGCTCAACGTGAGGGCGGAAAGGGCGGGGCAGGGCCGTCAGCGGTGGGGGCACCCGCTGCCGGATGAGTGGCCGGCTTGGCCGCGGCTGGTGCAACACGCACGTCGTGGAGCGCGGCTTGCCGCCAAGAGCCCCCTCCCCTGCCTTTGCCTCTGATTGCCTCGTGCCCCTGCAGCTGGAGTGGGGGCGGGGGCGGGTGTTTGATGGGGAGGTGGGCGCCGTGTTCCAGCGGCTGGTGCACGAGGCCAAGCAGGTGGGGCATGTGTGTGTGTGAGACTGGGTTTGGTGTGGTGGTGATGGTGGTGAACGGGGTGTGCGCGGCTGTGGTGCTTGTTGACGCCACAGTTGCGCTTCGCATGGCTTGTGAACGTGCTCTGCCATTGCCCAGCACCGCCCACCACGTCCCTGCACTGGCCCGCAGCTGCGGGTTGTGGATGTGACGGAGAAGGAGGAGCGCAAGGGGCGGCCGCCGGGCCTGAACACAGGCAGGGCATAGAGAGGCGCCAGCCAGATGGGCCTGGGCCGTGATGGCCGTGCATTTACCAAACCCTCTAGGTGTCCATGATCCTCACCCCCGTCGACCCTCGGGACCCTCCTTGCCTCTGTGCAGTCGAGCTGCTCAAGACGGCCAGCTCATCGCTGGGCATTGGCCCTGCGTATGCCATGCAGGTGGCGGAGCGGCTGTACACGCAGGTGAGCGAGCGGCGGGGAGGAGGGGGAGGAGGAGGGGGAGGAGGAGAGGGCCCTGGTGCCGCTTGAGGCTGGCTGCAACTGCTGCTGCACAGGCCGCCGCCGTCTCAGCCGCACCCCGCTGCCTCCTCCCCGCAGGGATACCTGTCGTACCCGCGGACAGAGAGCACCGCCTACCCACCCAACTTCGACTTCCACACCCTGCTGGCGGCGCAGCGGGCGCACCCAGTGTGGGGCGAGTACGCAGCCTCGCTCATGGGCGCCTTTGCTGCCCCAAAGGGCGGTGAGCAGGGCGCGGCGCAGGGTGGCGTGTGCTGGATGACTGCTTGGCGCGGGCGTGGAACCGGGGCCGTGCCTGGGGGCCCGCTGTGCGGGTTCTTTCATCATGCCTCGCAGCCTGACTGGCCTCCTCCTGCTCCTGCCCGTGCCCCCATCGCTGGCCGTGCCCCATGACCCTGTCCTTGGCCTCCCCCACCGCAGGCGTGGATGTGGGCGACCACCCGCCCATCACGCCGGTGAGGTGCGCCAGCGAGGCGGAGCTGGGCGGCGGCGACACCTGGCGCCTGTACGACTTTGTGGCCCGCCACTTCCTGGGCTCGCTGTCCCCGGACTGCGTGGTGCGCAAGACCAGGGCCAGCCTGGCGGCGGGCACCGAGAGCTTCGCCGCCAGCGGCACCCTGGTGCTGCGCCCGGGCTATGCAGCCATCATGCCGTGGAAGGTGGGCCGGCGGGCGTGGGGTGGGGCTGAGCTGGCGGCGGCAGGCTCGGCACGGGGCTTGGGGCAGGGGTGCAGTGTGTTTGCACAGCTGGGCTACACCCTGAGCTGTGGTGTGCGTGGCCGGGGAATCCAACTCCCAACCATGCGCCGTGGCATGCCGTTCTGCTCCCCCTCCCCACAATGCCCACGCCTGCAGGCGGTGCAGAACGAGCCGCTGCCGCCCATGAAGGCGGGGGACACCATCCCCATGTCAGGTGGGCTGCAGGCCAGCTGCCAACAGAGTCGCGCGGCACGGCGGGGCGGCAGCGCAGGTACCTGCACCCCCGCGCCGCGCCCTCCCTTACCACCCCTGTCGCCTCCGCCACCCCTGCACAGAGGTTGAGCTGCACCAGGGCAAGACCAGCCCCCCCGACTACCTCACAGAGGCGGAGCTGATTGAGCGCATGGAGAAGCACGGCATCGGCACAGGTGAGGGCGGGGCTGGGGCTGATTGGGTGTTCCGTGCGCCTTGGTTTTCATTCTCTTCGCAACACCGCTCAGGGCTTACCTCTCCCCCACCCACGGTGCAGATGCGTCCATCCCGACCCACATCAACAACATTTGGTGGGCGGCACTCGCCTGCTCCGCTCTCTGCTGCCGAGAAGGCCCATGCATGCATGTGCTGGCTGACCTACCCGCCTCACATGCCTGCCTGCCTGCCTGCCTGCCTGCCTGCCTGCCTGCCTGCCTGCCTGCCTGCCTGCCCACGCTGACTCCCTGCCTCCACCCATTCTGCACCCTGCCCCGCAGCGAGCGCAACTATGTGTCCATCCAGTCGGGGCGGCGGGTGGTGCCCACTGTGAGGGATCCTGCTGCCTGGTGGCTGCCTGCCTGCCTGCCTGCCTGCCGTGTGCTGCGCGTGCGCCCCGTAGCGCCACCCGACCCTGCACCCCTCGCCGCCGTGCTTTGCGCAGGAGCTGGGCATCACGCTGGTCAGGTAAACGGGACAGCTGTCATCACGCATTACCCCGGGAAAGGCCTGCACAGCAGCGGCCGCCAACGCCTGCCTCGCACTGCCTCCCCAGCACGCGCCCCCGCACCGCTGCGTGGCGGCGCCTGGTGCAGGGGCTACCAGCTGATCGACCCGGAGCTGTGCCGGCCCCAGGTGCGGGCCCACGTGGAGCACCAGCTGGACCTGGTGGCCAAGGGGCAGGCGGACAAGGAGGCCGTGGTGGCGCACTGCCTGGAGGAGTTCAGGCAGAAGTTTGCCTTCTTCGTGGCGCACATACAGGTGGGCCGGGGGTAGAGCAGGGTGCGATGGAGAGGGGTCGCTGTGGGGTGACTGCCCGCCTCCCCCGCCCTGCCACTTCTCTGTCATCCCGGCCTCATCCTGCCCCAGCCAAACACCCGCCCTGCCTGCAGCGCATGGACGCCCTGTTTGAGGCCTCCTTCTCCCCACTGGCCAGCAGCGGCAAGGTGCTGAGCAAGTGCGGGAAGTGCAACCGCTTCATGCGCCTCATCGCCTCGCGGCCGTCCCGCCTGTACTGCGGCACCTGCGAGGAAGTCTACTCCATGCCGCAGGGCGGCGCCATCAAGGTGAGCCCACGGCGGTTGAGCCTCCGCCTTGGCCGCTGCTTGAACGCCTCTGCTTGCCGGCTTGGCGTCGCCTCAAACCCAGCCCCAATTTATACACACACCGCAACATCAACATGTGTGCGTCTCTGCCCCCCTGTCGCTTCCAGCTGTACAAGGAGCTGTCCTGCCCGCTGGACGGCTTCCAGCTGCTGCTCTTCTCGCTTGGCGGCGCCGACGGAAAGAACACGGTGCTGTGCCCCTACTGCTACAACCATCCGCCCTTCCTTGAAGGGGTGGAGCAGGGAGGCAGGGCGGGCATGCCGTGCAGCCAGTGCGCGCACCCGGCCTGCCGACACTCGGTGAGCGCCGCTGTGATGGCCCTGTGGTGCCCGCCCTGCCCTCTGACAATGCTTTCCCAACCTCTCTCTCTCTACCTCTTTGTGGCTAACCGCTCTCTCACCCTCCACAATTCTCCCCTGCTGTGCTGGCGCAGCCGGCGCGCATGGGCGTGGCCGCCTGCCCTGCCTGCGAGGGGGAGCAGCAGCAGGGCATGCTGGTGCTGGACCCCGTGGGGTCGCCCTCCTGGCGCCTCGACTGCAGCAGGTGCGTGCGCTGTGCTGCCATGCTGCTCATTGCTTGGGGACCCCGGCCTCTTCTCCCTGCCCCAAGGCGCCACCGACACACGTTCGCCATGCTGGCCTCTGTACTTCCCATGCTTGACCCCAGGTGCTCCTTCCTGATCGTCCTTCCCAAGAACCTTCACAGTGCCAAGGTGGCAGCAGACAGCTGCGAGGTGGGCCTGACAGCGGTGGATGTCGGTTGCCGGGCTGGTATGCGACGCAAGGGGCTGGGGCATTGCATGTGCCAGGTGCTCCGTCCGCAACCTGCCCAGCCTGCTCCCTGCCTGCAGGAGTGCGGCGCCCAGCTGTTGGATGTGGACTGGAAGAAAGGGCACTCGCCGCTGGCTGGTGGCGCAACGCAGTGAGTGCAGCGGTTCCTACTTTCCGATTTGCAGACCTGGCCTGGCCTCCATTCACCAAACCGCAGCCCAAGTATGTGACCATCCCATCCCATCCCAGCATGCGCGCATGCATGCCTCCCTCACGCCACAACCCCCTCTCCTCCCTCTCCTCCCGCAGGTACACAGGCTGCGTTGTCTGCGACGAGCTGCTGGCCGCGCTGTGCGAGGTGAAGCACGCCAAGGCAGTTGTGAAGCGGGCAGGCGGGCGCGGCGGCAGGGGGCGTGGGCGAGGGCGGGGCAGGGGTCGCGGAAGGGGCAGGAGCAGGGGGGACCCCCGCATGTCGTTCCGAGACTTTTGAGCGGCGGCGGGTGGCAGGCACCGCAGCAGCCAACCTGACACCTGACTCGGAAGCAATGCTTGTTAACCACGGAATACATGAAATGGGTGAAATGAAACAGGATGAGCAGGGGATCAGTGTGGGAAAATCTGAGCGGGCTAGAATACAATGGCTTGCTGGGTGGCCGCGTGTGTACAGCAGCTCGGCTCTGTGTTGCCGCCGCCGCAGAGGTGGGTGGTCCAGCTGGGGAGAGATGGGGACCTGAAGGGGCAGGGGATGTGCAGCTGATGATTAGGATATGCCCACGCGCTGCAGCTCGGAATGTCGGCCTCGCTGCAGCAAGGGCGCAGCCATGCCCATCAGCTCGCTGCGATCTGCGCCAATTATGGGAAGCCTCCCCACCGCATGGACAGCAGTGGCAAGGGGCAAATCGGCGTGCAGCTCACAGCAGCATGGTGCAAAGCGGGCGCATAACGGCAGCACGTGATACAAGCGGGGAGGGGGCGACCTTCAGTCCCTTAGATGTTCAATGCCATCACGTGCGCTCAGGCGGGCGAGCTCTTGGTTAGGTCTGTGCCCGAAGAGTTTTTCATCCCCAGGCCGCCCCCCTCCCATGCATAGTGGTGGCATGCGATGGCAGGCGGCAAATGCATGATGATGCAGCATCAAAGAAGCGCAGAGAGGGAAGGAACAACAGGAAAGAGTGGCGTGGGTTGGTCTCAGACAAATGCCTCGGTTGTCGCTCACATTTGGGGCAGGCGCACAGCTGGCAGGACGCCAGGCAGTGCTACGCTGCTCAGTCTCGTCATCAATAAATCGATCCCCGACCAACCCAACAAAAAGCCACAGAGGAGAGGGCAGAAGAGAGAGGGAGATGTGCAGAGGATGCCAGAGGTGCAGAGATGCAATGCTGCGAGAAGCCGCTCCCACCCAACATGCCAGCCGCACCTGCTCCACGCACCGGAAGACAGAGCCTGCCGGGCTGCATCAGCCCCTTGCCGCCCGCACCACGCCGTCGGCGAGCTCAAACTTGGGCGACTGGTGCAGGAAAGCGGTGAGGGCTTGCAGTGCCGCGCCGTGCTGCGCCTTGGCCACGCCGTGCTCCCGCGCCACCGCCTTGTGCAGCTTGCCAAGCTTGAGCCTGCCCTTGGCGCTGGCCTTGAGCGCGGCAGACACCGCCTTCTTCCACTTAATGCGCCCCAGGCCGGCGCAGGCTGCCGCTGGTTCTTCAGGCTGCTGCTGCTGCAACTGCCCGGCAGCGGCCGGCTGTTGCCCTGCCGCCGCCGCCGCCGCCTTTCTCGTCGCCTTCTTTGCCTTCTTGCTGGCGGGCGCCTGGCCCTCTTGCCGCTGCCGCTGCTGGGGACTTGCTGCAGGCGCTCCCGCGGCCGCCACCTGCTGGCTGCTGGCCTGCAGCTGGTCCAGGAGGTGGCGCTTGGAGGCGGGGAGGATGATGACCATCCCCTCCTCACGCTCCAGCTCCACGCCCACAGGCGCCGGCCCCGCCTGGCGCCCCTGCTCCTGCCCCCCCTCCTCCGCCTCCTCCTCCTCCTCCTCCTCGTCGCTGCTGTCTGCTATGCGCGTCTTCTGGCCCTCCCAGCGAGCGCCGGCAACCTTCTTGGGCATGCCGCCGCGCCCCAGGCCCACCCGCCCCTTGGTGGCCTTGTCCTGCGGCGCAGCAGGCGGCAGGCGGGGCGCGGTCAAGCAGGGCGCCAGGGCGGGCAGCAGGCGGGCGTGCAGGCAGGCTGCTCGTGCAGGGCCAGGGCAGGCATGCGAGGCGGCCCCAGCCACAGCCAGACGTGGCCAGCAGCAGCAGCTGCAGCAGCTGCAGCTCCATCTCTCAGCAGCAGCAGCTCCATCTCTCACATGCGCCATGTTGTACAGGTTGGTCTGGTCCTGCTCACTGAAGCCGTGGATGGTGATGGCGGCGGGGGCGGCGGCGCTCGCGCCCACGCCCGCGCGCGGCCCCGCCGCACGGTGGAAGCACACCTGCCACCACTCCGGCTGGCCGCTGTCCGGCGGCGCGGGCGGCGGCGCCGCGGGCCGGCCGCCGCCGCCGCTCGCCGCCATGGGGCGCCGCACCACAATCATTTCCGGCTTGGCGGCCTGGGCCACGGCTGCTGCTGCGGTGGCGGCGGCGGCCTGGCTGCCGCCGCCGGCGTCGCTGTCGCCGCCCGACGACTCGTCGGTGTCGTAGCCGCTGCTGCCCGCCTGCGCCTGCTGCACCTGCTGCGCCCGCACCTCGGGCACGGCGGCGGCAAAGGAGGCGAAGGGGTCCTCCCCCAGGATGGCGGCCAGGTCGTGCTGGGAGTAGCCCTTGACCATCTTGGCCGCCTCGCGCTTCTTGAAGCGGCCCAGGTGGGTGGCGGCCTTGACGCGCTTGGGCGCCGCCACCCCCGCCCCCTCGCCCTCGCTGCCGCCGCTGCCGCTGCCGCTGCTGGGCGCCGCCCGCCTACGCTTCTTGCCGCCGCCCTCCTTCCGCTGCCGCCGCGGCTGACGCGGCTTCTCCGCCGCCTGCTGCTCGGGCGCCTGCTCACCGCCTGAGGCGTCGCTGTCTTCGTCGCTGCTGCTGCCATCGGCGCGGCGCCGGGCGTGCTCCGACACCACCTCCGACAGGTTGCTGAGCACGCGGTGGAAGTCCAGCATGCCGTTGGTCCAGGTCTGGGCATGCTCCGCAGCCTCCACCTGCCACACAAGCGCGGCAAAACAAGGTGGGCGGTGAGCACGGTGGTCGGGTGCAGGAGGAGGCTGCGGGAGAGGGAGAGGCCTGCCACACGCGTGGCCGCCGGAGCTCACCGCGCCGACGCCCCAGTTCTCGAACTTCTTCTTCACTTTGATGTGCGCCTTGATGCCCTGCTTGGAGGCGCCCAGGCCCTCGCCCTCGCGCCACCCCATGGCAGACAGCAGGCGGTAGCCGGCGCTCTCCTTCTGCGGTCGGGCGACGGCGGGGGGGGGAGCAGGCACCAGCTGAGCAGCAGCGGCTGCGTGCGAGCAGGATTGCGGTGTGCACTGTGCAGGCTGGCAAAGTCCTGCGGTCCATATGAGCTTCATTGGGATACACACGACCACCGTCGCACCTGCACGCCCTGGTAGCGCTGCGGAGGCAGCCCGCCCTGCCGCTGCACCGCGGCCGCCGCCATGGCCCTGCAGCAATGCAACGATGCAGCAACCACTGAGCTCAGAAGCAGGGGCTACTGGAGGCACGGCATTGTGGGGGGCATATGCATGCGGGCAATGGCATTGGGCGCAGCCAAGAGGTGAAGCCCCGCAAAGGCATGCATGTCTGCAAACTGGGACTGCGCACCTCGCGCTTCCAAGGGCTTGGTGGGTGTCTACGGCTGTGAGACTGGCAGAAGAGAAGCGCCCAGGAGCCTGTGCAGCACTCCCGGCGGTCACTGGGACGTGCCAGGCAGGGCTTGCAGCGTTTGGACAGCGCGGAGGGCGAAGACAGCCTCAAGGCCAGCCGCAGGAGTACGGCGTACCGCCTCAGGCTGCATGCAGGCCCATGGCCATCTGCGCCGGTTGCATTCGCTTGTTCAGACGCAGGGATTTGCTGCGCTGGGCAGGTGCCGGGTTGATCGTGCTTGCACAGATGACTTCAGGCCCTCACCAGCGGCTGTTTCAACGCCTCTGCTTGAGAGCGGCAGCTCTGCTGCTGCTGCTAGTGGCCAGCTGCCGGGGCACGGAGTTCCAGGAGGGAGATTTTGTCCCGTCGGCGCGGCGGGCGCAGTTCCACGGCGTGAGTGCGCTCGAGGCCCCTGCTAGACCTGCTGCCAGCTGTGTGCACTCCTTACAAACCTCCAGCTGCTTCTGCTGGAGGTCCTGTTCTGATTTCTGACGCACCAGGCCAGCATTCGCTTGCGCGCTGCCAGCTGCTGAGCCCCACTGCTGTCCCGTGCCCGCTTGCAGCAACGCACCCACTGGCACGACATCCTGGGCCAGCACTGCCCCAAGTTTGGCGTGAAGCGGCTGGTGGCGGTGCCGCTGCCGCAGCCGCTGGGCTACAAGGCGGCGGACGACTACAAGGTGCAGTTCAGCTTTGACGGCGATCGCCACCTCACGCCCTGGCTGCCTGTCATCGGCAAGCGCGCCGCCTCGCCGCCGTATGTTGAAGTGGAGCTGACGCGGTCGGGGGACAGCATTGTGGCAGGTGGGGCGGGCTTGGGGGGTGCTGCTCGTGGACAGAACGGAAGGCGCCGCCATGTGTGCGTCGGCGGCAAACGAGGGAGGGCATCAGCGTGGCTGCCCACACCCCCACCGATCTCCACATGCTGCCTGCCGAGCCGCCATGTGCCTGTGCCGCAGTGAGCGCGTCTGTGTACCAGCTGGATGAGGAGGACCAGGCGCAGCACGCCCCGCTGGTGCGCGAGTTCCTCAACGCCACCCACTGGCCCAAGCACCTGCTCGTGCACTACACCTGGCACACGCGGCACGAGGAGGACGAGGAGGCGGGCCTGCTGGTGCTCTTCTCAGGTGCAGCAGGGCGCCGCCGCCGCCGCTGCAGCACAGGTGCAGCCCTCTGGAGGTAGCCACGGGTGGTCAGGTGCCGACCTCTGTTCACACGCCCCACCCCTTCACCTGCCTGCTCTTGCGCCCTCCCTGCATACTGCAGCGGGCGCGCTGGCGGCATTGCTGCTGGGCCTCAACGTGGCGCGCACCTACCAGGACAAGCTGCGCCAGTTCCTGGCAGACGTGGCAGGGGACCAAGTGTCGATGGCTGGCGCCCCCGAGAAGGGCGACTGAGCGTCACCCCAGGGCCTTGGCTGGGCACAGGGCGGGATGCCAGAGCAGCGCCGCCACTTTGCTGGTTGTCAGCCTCCTCCTCTCTTCGCCCCTTTTGCATATACGTCACTGTTGATAACGTGTGACAAGATCCATGACAACCATCAATATGAAGAACAGGGAGGAGCGAGGGCTGGCCAGAGTTGCCCGGCGGCGACTGATGGCGGTGCGGACCTGTCCCGCCTTGGGCCCTTCCTGTGCTAATGAGCTTTCGAAGACGCATGCCTGTCAGCTTCTCATCGCTAGTGCGTGGCAAGTCGGTGAGTCTGTTGCTCGTCTGGACAACCACAAACACTGAAAGTTTCTCTGCCATCATCGTTGGCTCACTGGCTTGCCCTGGCTCCCCCCTGAGCAGCTCACAGCGGTGGTGGCGCACACTGGAGGAGCGTGTCGGGCGGGCACCTTGTTGGGCGCTTTGCTGTCGCCGTCACTCTGGCTGCCCGCCTGCCGTCCGCACCTGATGCAGGTCCGCTTTGACAAGCTCAACATTTTGTTGTCAGTGGCAGGTCTGCCGTCATCCCCCTGGACTACAGGCGAGGCACAACACAATTCCTGGAGCTCTAGCGCCTTCGCCATGCCAGATGGCACGGCCGTGGTGACACGCCAGGCGTCGCCGTCGCTCGCAGTTGCCGTCTTCCGCTTTCCGCAGCGGCACCCCCGGGCCGCGGGCTTCTTCCTGGTGTGGCTTCTGGGACTGTATTGCGCGTTCCTGGCTCGTCCACCCGCCATTACTGACGAGCAGACAACGGCATTCAAAGTCAAAGTCCAGGAGGTGAGAGGTGGCGCGCACGAGAGAGGGTGTTTGATTGGGGTCATCCCCACGCCGGGGGCGGCACAATGGCGCCTGGCTGATGCGCGCTGTTCCCCTGTCCCGCCCCTGCTGGCATCACTGCAGGCGGAGGTCATTTTGGGAGAGCTGGCACGGGCGGAGCAGGTGCTGATGGAGGCGGAGCTTGAGCAGCAGCAGTTCAAGGTGTGGTTCTGGCGGTTCAAGCCCGAGGCGCGGACGGAGGTGGAGGCGCGGCAGCCGGCGGTGGATGCCGCGCGAGCTGTGGCGCGGGAGATACAGGGGCGGCGGGACAAGGTGCTGCGGGAGGCCAAGGCGGTCCTGGGGCTGTGGTCGGGTAAGAAGTAGTTGAGCAGCAGTTGAGCAGGTGTTGCGCCATCTCTACCACGGCACCCTTCCTCTGGCCCTGCTGGCTGACCGGCATGATGATGTGGTGGTGCAGAGGCCGGCGTGGAGGAGGGGAGGGAGCTGTTTTGGGAGTCGTTCAACTCGGGCAAGGTGTTTGCCCAGCGCCAGACCTTCATCGACAGCATCTTCACCATCCTCGACTCCCGGGACCGAGACTGGATCAGCATGCTGCTGCAGCTGCTGTTCCAGACCCTCATCAACTTCTTCACGGGCCTCTGCGCCAGCGTCTTCATCTTCCTGCTGCAGCTGCCCTCCCTCATCTGGAGCTACCAGGCCTCCGTGGTGAGCGGCCCAGCTGCGGCAGCCTGCCTCGGTGCAGTTGTGCGAGCGACCTGCCCGGCGATCGCCACCTCAGCCTGACCCCTGAACCCCCGTCCTGCCTTGCAGTGGAGCGCCGTCAGCTTCTTTGCGCTGGCGGGGGTGGCGGCGGTGAGCGTGGTGGCAGCCTACCTCGGCCTGCTGTTTGGCGCGGGCGGGGTCGTGGCCTACTCCACCGTCCACCTGGTGGTGCAGCAGGCGGCGCGGCTGGAGGCGGGGCGCGAGCAGCAGCGGCGGCGCCTCGACTACGACCGCCGTGAGCACCACGACTAGCTGCCATGCTCTTGCAAGGTCGAGCCTGCCTCTTTCCTTGACTCCTACGTTGCTGTGCCATTGATCGTGCATGCACCTTCACTGTGAGAAATTCAACAAGTCTTGCCCAGAGGGATCTGCCCTATGCCACAGGCGAATTGTTTACATGGCTGGGAGACTGGGCAGTGTCAATAAGGCGCCGAGGGCGCAGCGGGCGGGGTCAAGGGTGGGGGAAAACAGAGCACAGGAAAACTTCGGCAGGTGGCATCTGAGCGCTGATGTGTACAATCTGAATTGAGAGAAATGAGGCCTTAGCACGTGTTTCAGCAAACACAAGTACATAGAGCGCAGGGCCGGCACAGCTACAGGAAAAATCTGCAATTTTAAAGTGTCGGCTAGGAGAGGCTACAGAGTACATTGCTCCAAAGTTCCAGATGGCGCAGCCATCTCAGGGAGATAGAGGCATAAAATCCAGGAAGGAAGGTGCGGGCATCGTGACTGCGCCGTCGGCGCTCAGGGATGCAGCATAAACTTAGCCTGGCGCTCAGCCTGCAGTGCTTCACGCCGCAGCCTGGCCACCTCCCGCTTCTGCAGCTCCTTCCTGCAGGCGAGAATTCGGAAGGAGTGGGGGAGACGCGACTTGCAAGTTGTGTGGGGTTGCACAGACCGGCGGACGGCGAGTGCGGCACGGCGGCGCCCGCACCTCTCCCCGCGAAGGGCCTTGGCCACCAGGCGGCTCAGGTGTCGGTCCATCTCCACTGGCCCTTCCTGCAGACAACGCCCGCAGGTGATTGAACCGAGTCAAGGGCTGGGAGACTAGTAGCCGCCGTTCTCAGTGGGTTTTATCCCTCCTCGCCTCACATTTATCTCGAGGTGCATCGGCCGAAATCCCCAGCGGCCCAGCAGCTTGGCAGCCCAGCGCCCCAGAGTTGGTGCAGCGGTGCCGGTCGCCATGCTTTCGGAAAGAGCTTGGAGGAGATGCAAGGCTATCCAGCAGTAAATGTGCGTCAGTGAGAGGCCACTGCAAGCCTCTCAGTCGACTGCGCCACATTCCCCTGCGAGTTGTACTTCCCAAGGGCCGCGTGCCGTTGCACACACCTGCATACACCATTGCACTTCCACCAGCCTGCTGTGCAAGCAGGCGTCGAGCCTAGCCCCATCTTCCGCTCTCCGAAACAACCTCACGAGCAGCGCGATGGAGCGGCGCACCGCATTCAACAGGCTGACGGTGCTGTCAGGGCACTTTGGCAAGCAAGGTTTGGCGCGGCCGAGGGCGGCAGGCGCCGTCACCGCCGCCGCCGCCTGCCGCCTACCTGCGCCTTCCACTTCCAACCCTGCTGCACTCAGTCCACGCGTCTGTGCCATGCTGCGTCCTCGCAGGTGGCGGCGGCGCCAACGCGGAGGCGGATGCGCTGGAGCGGCAGCTGACGGCAGCGGGCCTGGGCACCACGCCCGAGTTTGAGTTTGCCCAAAACATGCGTGCCTTCCCGCCCGCCAAGCACGATGCACTGGGCCTGGAGGAGCTGCTGACGCCGGCGGAGCGGGAGGTCCGCGACCGCGTGCGCCGCTTTGCGGTGAGCGGGGCGGGCGGGCACCTGGTGGCGCTTGGGTGGCTGTGCCACGCGACACCCAACTCCTCCTTGCCGCACACGGCGCCGAACGGGCTGCCCTCCCGCGCGAGCACCGCCGCTCCCAGGCTGATACCTGCTGCACCTCCTGCCGGTTACTCCACCGCCCCCGCAGGAGTCTGAGATTGCTCCCATCATCTCCGACTACTGGGAGCGCGCCGAGTTCCCCTTCCCGCTCGTCCCCGGCTTCCAGAAGCTGGGCATCGGCGGCGGCCACCTGCAGGGCTACGGCTGCCAGGGCCTGAGCGTGATGGGCGCGGCCATGGCGGCCGTGGAGCTGGTGAGCTGGCGGCGGGCGCGGCAGGCAGGCCCAGGGCTGCACGGTGCAGTCGGGCCGGCGCGGCAGGGGCGGGCCCCTCCTGCCGCCTCCTCATCCCTCGCCCTGCCACCCCGGCCCGCCCCGCCCCCGCGCAGGCCCGCGTGGACGGCTCCTGCAGCACTTTCTTCCTGGTCCACTCCTTCCTGGCCACCCTCACCGTCGGCCTGCTGGGCAGCGAGGCGCAGAAGCAGGAGCTGCTGCCCGAGATGGCCGACTTCAGGCGGGTGTCCAACCTGCTGCCAGCCAACACTTACCTGCACCCCCGGGACCGCTACCTGCCGGCCCCAGCCTGCCGTGCCGCTCTGGTCTGCTCACCCTCCCTCCCTCGATCTCCCCCGCCCTTGCCGCCGCAGGAAGGTGGGGTGCTGGGCGCTGACCGAGCCCTCCAACGGCTCCGACGCCTCGGCGCTGGCCACCGTGGCGCGCCGCGTGCAGGGCGGCTGGGTGCTCAACGGCCGCAAGGTGAGCGGCGCCGCCGCGTGCGGAGCGGGGAGCCAAGCTCCTGCTGAGCGCCAGCAGCAGCGCAGGATGCCGCAGCGTCTGCGCCATCCAGGCGTGCCTCTCCCCTGGCCTGCCCTCCCACCGCCAGCCCCCCGCCGCCGCTTCCCCCCATCCTGCCGTGCGCCCCCAGCGCTGGATCGGCAACGCCACCTGGGCCGACATCGCCGTCATCTGGGCGCGCAACAGCGAGACCAGCCAGGTCAACGCCTTCATCGTGCGCAAGGGCAACCCCGGGTACAGGTGGGCCCCCGGGCGCCTGCCGGCGGCAGCTTGCCTGTCAAGGGCCGACGCGCTCTGTCGACCCTCTCCCAGCCTGGGCAGCACTTCAGCCCTGCTGCCTGAATTCAAACCTGCCCGCTCCGCCCTTCCCCTTGCTGCCTTCCTTCCTGACCCCTCTGCCTCGCTTCACCCCTCTGCCTCGCCTCACTTCTCACCCCCACCCACCCGCCCGCCCCTGCAGCGCCACCAAGATGGAGAACAAGATTGCGCTGCGGTGCGTGCAGAACGGCGACATCAAGCTCACCGACGCATTCGTGCCCGACGCGGACCGCATCCCAGGTGTGGGGCGGCTCCCCTGCTCCAGCCGCCTGCGCCCTGCTGGCATGCTTCTATGGTCCAACCATCTCCCGCCCCGGCCCCCAGCCTGCCCCGGCCCCTGCCCTGCCCTGCCCGCCGCCCCGACCCTCCTCCCTTCCCCCACCCCCCTGGCCGCACCCCCAGGCGTGTCCAGCTTCTCCGACACCAACAAGGTGCTGGCCATCAGCCGCATCATGGTGGCCTGGCAGCCGGTGGGGCTGGCGCTGGGCGCCTACGACATGTGCGCGCGCTACCTGCAGCAGCGCCGCCAGTTTGGCGCCCCGCTGGCATCCTTCCAGCTCATGCAGGTGAGCCCGGCTGCCGCCGCCTCCCACCCATGCGCACGCAGCCGCCACGGCCGCGGCCCTTGGCCCCGCCGCGATTCCGCCGCGCCGCCCGCTGCCCGGCGCCGCCCCACCGGGCTGTGCCTGCCCGCGGCCCCCGGCCCCACCGCCGTCCAGGAGAAGCTTCAGCGCATGCTGTCCACCTGCCAGGCCATGTGGCTCATGGCCTGGCGCCTCACCAAGCTGTACGAGGCCGGCAAGCTGACGCACGAGCAGGCCAGCCTGGTCAAGGCGTGGACCACGCTGCGCGGCCGCGAGGTCAGCCGCCCTGCCCAGCCCGCCGGCCGGCGGCGGCGGCAGCAGCAGCAGGGCGCCGCGCCTCTCGCGCCCGCTGCTGGCCCTGGCGCTCTGGCACTGTTGCCACGGCCCGCGTGTGCGCGCCCTGCAGCCCACCGCCCGCTCCTTGCCCCCGCCCGTCTGACAACAAACCGCTTGCCGCGCAGGTGGTTGCCCTGGGGCGCGAGCTGCTGGGCGGCAACGGCATCCTGTCTGAGTTCCTGGTGGCCAAGGCCTTCTGCGACGCAGAGGCGTACTACAGGTGGGCGGGGGTAGGGGGGCACCTGCGGGGATGCTTGCCCCCGCCAGGTTTGTGGCCGACAGCTGTGAGTGTGGGGCGGGCAACAGGGAGCAGCTTGGGGTCGTTCCGTCTCCAGTGGGAGCTGAGCTGAGCTGAGCTGAGCTGAGCTGAGATGGCTGCTGTGCTGCTGTGGCCCCTGCCTGCCTGCCTGGCCCCGCAGCTACGAGGGCTCGTATGAGGTGAACGCGCTGGTGGCGGGGCGCGGCGCCACAGGCATCTCATCCATCAAGCCGCCCCGCAGCGGCAAGGTGCAGGTGCAGGCGTGAGAGGGGGCAGGCACGCGGCCGGCGAGGGCCCGCTGCCCGCCCTGGATGCTGGTGGTCGTGGCCCCCAGCGTACGTTTTGGTGCCTATACCAGCGCTGCGACGCTTGAGTCATTGCCTCAAGCCCATGTCTTACACATTCATGTAGCCGTCTTTCCAATTTTGAACGAGATGCTCTGCATATATGTACCATTGCCCAGCCCCGTGTAGCGCCACGTTGTTTCATAGCGTTTGTAGCGATCCACCCACTCGAGAGATTCGTGCTTGCTGCTTAGTGTATCGTTGAGTTTGTCGTAGCGAGCTGACCAAGGCCCGCATGGTGTAAATAGAGTAGAGGCTGCGGCAGTCAAGGCTGGCGCCGCACCCAGGAACTGATGATTGGCTGCCGTGCACTGCTCAGCGCTTGCCCTTGCCACTCCCTGCAGGCAGGGAGGCAGGTGAAGATGGTTGCCTCCCAGTGTGGGTTTACAGGCAGGCACGGCAGTCAGTGATGGGCTGTGGCGCGGCTGCTGCCTGCGCGCGCCATGCCTGGCCCGCGGACCGGCCAAGATAGCCGCTTGTGCCCGCTGCGCGCTGCGGTGACGCCCTCTTGGCGCTGCAGCAAGCTCTGCTCCCGCAGGCTGAGCTCTTGCAGCTCCACCCTACCTATGTCACTGCTGCTGGGAAGCGCCTGAATGGCCTTCACCTCCTCCACCTTTGCTGCGGCCACAGGCGAAGCTGGCGACTTGGCCGTGGTGGCTGCAGCAGCAGCAGCGCCCGTGCCAGCGGCTGCGCTCACCGCCACCATGCCCTGTGGCTGGGGCTTGCTGGCTGTGCTGCTGCTGGCAGGCACGGCAGCAGCAGCAGCAGCAGCGCTGGGAGTGGCAGGCTTGTCCGCCGGCTTGGCGCTGCTCGCCGCCGCCGAGCTGGCGCCGCCAGCGGGGCCGCTGCTGCCACCGCTGCTGCTGCCGCCGTTGAGGCTTGGCCTGGTGGTGAATGAGTCGGCGGGCACCACGCTGGTGGAGGGCGCGGTGACCAGGTTGCCGCTGGTGGTGCGTGCCAGCACGTTGGTGGCGGCGGGGCGCCCCGACATCACCACAGGCAGCTGGTCGATGTCCTTGACTGCCGCCGCGGTCTTGTGGCGGCGGATCATGCCTGTGCAGGGAGGACGTGAGGAGGGCGTGGGGAGGTGCAAAGGGACGGTGACGTGTGTGCGGCGTCGGAGGGGAGGCACACGGGCACAAAAGGCATGGCAAGGCATGGGCGAGGCGGCACCCTCCTCCCGCAGGCCCTGCTCACCCGCCAGCGAGCCCACATTGTCCAGGGCGCCGGTGCGCGCCCTGCCGCCGCTGCTGAGCACCGTGGCGTCCGCCACCGGGAAGTTGTCCTTGACATTTGTGGCGTAGCCAGCCAGCACGTCCGCCAGCCGCCCAGCAGAGCTCAGGTGCTGGATCAGGTCTGCCCGCGGGATGGCTGCCTGCGGCAGACCGCCACGGCAGCGTCTCTAGGGCAGGGCGCTTGTGGAGCTTGTGGGCAAGGCGCCGCCTGTGGCACCATCATCCACCTGTGGGATGCCCCCGCCCACCTGCCACAGCGCGTTGATCCAAGCCTGCTGCACTTCCTGGGTGGGCGCCGACAGGAGGAAGAAGGGGTGTCTGCAGGAGAAGGCGTGGCTGGAGTGCAGGGTGATGGTGATGAAGAAGGAGCCGCTGCCCTTGCCGCCCTTTGCAGCGCCGGCCATAGGCGGCGGGAGCTCCGTTTCGATCTTGGCAGACTCCAGGGGAATGACGCCATGCAGGCGCTTGGCCTGCAAGCGGGTGGTTCAAGGAGAACAAGCTGCTTACCAAACCAGCCCGGGCAACCAACGGGCACATTCTGGCGGCGGCACGGCGGATCCCTGGCTGCCATGCTTGCCTGCGCAATGTTCTTGCGGTTGGGGAACCAGAAGAGGAAGGAGCCCTGCATTACATGTAGGGAGCATAACATGCTTGCAAGCAGATTGTGCCCATCCTAACTGCTGCACCACCAGGCCACTCCCCACGGGAACGGCGAGTGTAACTGCTCATGTGCGAAGACTGCCTTGCCGAAGCCCTCCTAAATGCGCTCACTTTGAGCACGAAGTAACGCTCCTTCCATGCTCCTCTGCTGTGCCCCTTCTTCAGCAAGCAGCCCGCTTGCTCAGGCGGCGTGAACATGCTGGCCACCGACATGGTGCGGCCGCTCCCAAACTCTCCTCAAAAATGGCCTACTGCCCGTGTTCGATGATCGGCACAACAGCTTTCGTATGCGCGACGCAGCTCGTAAATGGTCAATGGGCTGCCGTGCGCTGCGCTATGCTGCGCCGCGGCGTGCCCAGCACCGGCATATGCCGGTGGATGGCGGCGCCCGGGTTCTTCCATTCTCTTTCGGGTTCTGATCCAGAGGAATTCCTGAAAGCACCGCACGCATGAATGAGGACGCTGGGCCACACCCGCCGAGTGGCGGAGCGGCCAAAGTGGCAGGTGCGCCAAAGCACGGCCCTGGCAGGGCGTTGTGACACGATTCGTGCATCGGGCGGCAGGCAGCTGGGGTACACCACATGCTGCCCTACATGCAGCCCCAGGGTTTGGCTGGAGAGCGTCAGCGCCCTCCTCTCGGAGAGCCCGGGGCGCTTCTGGGGCCGACTCCAGCTCTGTCCCAACACTATGGCGGCCCACCAAGCAGCGGAAGCGGCTCCCTTTTTCCGCCCACCGCCGCCCACCGCCGCCGCCCCGGGTGAAGCCGCCGCCCGCCTGTGCACTCTCTCGTCTCCTGGTGCAGGCAAGATGAAGCGGGTCCTCAAGTCGCTCTTTTCTGCCACCAACGGTGGCGTGGACTTCTACGACGTTGCAGGAGTCACGGTGGTGCCAGCTGATGTTGTGAGGTGCGAGGGGGAGGCGGTACCGCCACCCCTACTGCTGCTGCCCTTGGCTAATTTGGGCAAGGTCGGCGTTCCGCTCCATCCCTTCCGCTGCACGGCTGTTGGGCACAGCTCCTATGTGCTGCACCTCCCGACCGCCTGCTCGCCCCTCCACCGCTGCAGCGGCAAGGCCGAGGAGGAGCGGCGGCGGGCCGAGAAGGGCAAGGCGTGCGTGGTGGATGAGGATGAGGAGCGCATGAGCGTGGACACTGCGTACAGCGCGGAGCAGAGTGGCGGCCAGGGCAAGGAGCGGCTGCGCAAGATGGCCACGCTCGTGCTGGGCATCACCCCCACCGTAGAGGAGGCCATTGATGCTATCGTGTGCCCGCCCCAGCAGCAGCAGCAGCCCGCTTCCTTGCACGGCAGCGCCGCCTCGCTGCACGGCCGGCGCGCCTCGCAGGCCAGCATGGGCAGCATCACAGACGTGGAGCTGGCGGTGTTTGGCTGCGACAGCGGAGCGCCCAGTCCCAGCAGCACCGCATCGGGCTGCGCGGGTGCAGGTCCCAGCCGAGCCGGCAGCGGCGGCAGCGAGCTGTACAGCATGGCTGGCTGCAGCGGCAGCGGCAGCAGCGCGGGCGCATGGGGGGCCGCAGGCCCCTGCGGCAGCAGCGCCAGCGACCACGGGCACATCAGCGGTGCCGCCTTGCCGCGATGGCATTGACCGCAGCTCGTGCAGCCCCTCTCATCACTCAAATTTTGACCAGATCCATCCATCATCGGGGCTTCCAACAGCTGAACCATTTTTTTTTCTAGCTCCTTTCATGCAGCTGGTGCGCAACATGCATCTGCACCATTACGATACCTCCCCCTCGCTCCCTCTGGTTCCCTGCTCCTTTGATTCAGCCAATGATCCTTCCCCTTCATGGTCCAATGTGTTCATTACAAGAACATCAGTTTTGCTCCACCGATGTTCAGCCTGTAGTACCCCTTAGAAACATACAAATGCCAGTGGGTCAGCAGCAGAAAGAAGCTGGGCGAGAATCGTGAGATATGAAAGAAACAAGTAGTTTGAGCGACAGGAATGAATGAAAATTTGGTTGGTCAGGGAGCAGCAGGCCGCAGCGCTTGGGAGGCCGCCGCGTCAGAGCAGCTTGCGCCACCTCATGTACAGCAGCATGCTATAGAAGAAGGAGAAGCACCTGCGGCAGCACGCGCAGTCGGCAGGGCTGCGCTCAGCTCGGGGGCGCAGGGCTGCCGACGGAGCACAGCCAGGGTGCCGAGGTGGTCCTGCCGCGCGGCGGGCAGGGGCGCGCGGGCAGGCGGCCAGTATGCATGGCAGCCATGCACTCACAGCACGAATGCAATGGCGTTGATGGCCCAGAACTTGTCCACGCTGGTGGTGAGGAAGGGCGGGATCACCAGGTTCTCTCCCAGGATGCCTGCGGGCACGGCAGGGCAGGGCTGGGGAGGCGCTGAGGCGTGGAGGGCGGCAGCCGCGTGGAGGCCAGGCGCGGGGAACCCCTCCGCAGCGGCTGCACAGCCCGCCACAGCGGCAGCCCCTGCCGCGGCCGCCCACCTGCCATGAGGTTGAAGGGCGCGATGGCGAAGGAGGCTGCGGTGAGGACGATGTCGAGGCGTATCAGGCGGTGCGCCCT